TTTTAGTGTTCTGCTAAAATTTGAGCCTAAGACAGTATTTCACGTCTTCAGATTGAAGCGATTGAACTTCCAATGGATCCAAAGACCAACAAAAGGAGGGGGTTTGTGTTCATCACTTTCAAGGAAGAAGATCCAGTGAAGAAAGTTTTGGAGAAGAAATTCCATAACGTCAGTGGAAGCAAGGTAGAAACTTAAATTTGTGAATCTTTGACCAGATTGTTAAGCAGAATACCACTGTCTTTGCTCTGAAAAAGATTTTGTAAGGCTATGATTTCAGAGTACCCAAAATTCCATCAGGATAGTGTGCAATTTACTGTATTATTTTCTTCTCTGTGTTCAACCACAGAACCTGCTAGAGTTCTTGGCCAGTATTTGCGGCTTTAATGTTTATTAAGTGCTTTGGGCTTTTGTAAGTAAAGGATTTAATTAATATAATTACATATGTATGGAAAAACTGGCTTGTTTATATATCAGTATGGTGATATAAGCCATCTGAATAGATTCATGTTCTATTTTTCATCATAGAGTAATTGCATAAATTAAAGGCTTACTGGTGCCTTGTGCTTAAGGGCCCCTTGAACCTCATCAGCTGTCTGTGTGAACCACTGTAACAGTGGTGTGAGATGCTCTGGTTGTCTGATGTTGCTTATTTGTGGGAGTAGCTAATACAGGTTCAGGTGTCAAGCTTATGAGAACTGGAGACAAATTATGTACTGGCTGGAAGGTGTCCCTCCTCTTTTGCTCTGTGCTCAATGCTAACCATCCATACACTAACTTCAGAGTCCTATCAGAACTTTTCATACAGCCCCACATAGTAACTTGCATTGCTTGTAGATTAAGACAAGATTACTTGACACAGCACAGAGTAAAGTTTTGGTCATTACCTGTTCAGTTGGTTTGCCAGACTCTGTAGTTCGCCATAAAGTTCATAAAGAGGCAAAGGATTGGGTGTGAGAAGAACCAAGAAATCATATTCAATCTCACGTCTATGGCTTCTTTTTGTCATAAGATAATAAAACCAGCACGTTACCTTAAAGCAAGATCCAGTGTGAAGAACTCTAAGCAAAGTTTCCTGAGGTAGCATCGCAGGGTGGTGTTCCTCTCACTGCTTCATCTCCAACCATACATAGATCTAGGAAGTAGAAGCTGGCTGATAACTTGAAATAGAGCTTGGGGGCCAGTCCTGGAAATTTTAATTCCAGTTATTTTTAATTATTTGTAGTATTGGAGAAGTTATGTTTTCAACTGTTGGTTAAGTGTCCAACACAGTCCAACACATACTCATAGTACAGACTGCATGAAGGCTGCCAGGAAAATTCATGTGACTTATTTTTCAGCCTTGTTGGTAGCTCTTCAATCAATGCAACTCAGGTGAAGCAGTCCAGCACCTTAGTCCTAGAATTTCTGCAGACTGTGGGACAGCCTTGTAGCCACCCTAGAAGCAGTAGTGGCTATGCTGAGGTGACCTCCCCACTTTCCTGTGAGGAAACTGATGGTGGGGAAAGGGTGGCATAAAGTACTCTGATAGCAGTAGCTGGCTTGAATGGCAGATAGTGACTGACTTACCTTGGCCTGAGCAGCATGATAAATTGGATGCTTCCGGATGTGCAGTAACACCGGCTGCGTGGCAGGGAGCACAGCATGAACACCTTTGCCTCTAGAATAACCTCTGGCTTTCCTAAGTGGCTAGGTTTGAGCAGTGCTGTTTCAAGACAAATAAACACATTCCTCCTTATTCTTTGTTTTCAGTGCGAGATAAAGGTAGCACAGCCAAAAGAAGTATACCAGCAGCAACAGTTCAGTAGTGGTGGAGGAAGAGGTAGCTATGGAGGAAGAGGCAGAGGTGGAAGAGGCGGTGGTAAGTATTACACACACTACTTTAGTATGGACACATTCAAACTAAGCTGTGTGTACTAAAATGGGATTTTGTGGATGGTTTTCCCTTCTATAGCTCAAAGTCAAAATTGGAATCAAGGTTATGGCAATTACTGGAACCAGGGTTATGGGAATCAAGGATACGGCTATCAGCAAGGTTATGGTGGCTATGGAGGCTATGATTATTCAGGATATGGGTATTATGGATATGGACCAGGCTATGATTACAGTAAGTAAAGAACTGTATTGGGTATAAGCAAGCGTAACTAATTAGCAGTTTAATGCATTTGTTCTCTTGTTCATAGGTCAAGGCAGTGCAAATTACGGGAAGACACCAAGGCGTGGTGGCCATCAGAATAACTACAAGCCATATTGATCAAACTTATTCAGGTATGCAGTGGCATGGTCTCTTTTGGAAAATGACTGCATAGGTTTTGTATACAATGCTGTAGATGGTATTTCAGTTCTGTACCAAATTTAACTTTACAATAAATTTCTATGGCCTGTTAAATGTGCATCTTACTTGGAAGAGCTCCTTGGAAATGTTTTACATGTTTAATACTTACAGATAACTAGTTGTTTAGACAGTGTGGTGTGTAAATTTCAGCCTTGCTGAAGATATTAATTAATGATTTTATTAATAGGTTAAACTGAAACTGATTTTGAGGGTCTGCTTAAAGCTGCAGCTCTGCATCTAGGGACTGCCTCTTGGAGTTAACTATGGACTCTGCATTACTCCAGTTGTACAGAAAGAGATGCATCTTTAGGGAACCAGTGTCACTTTCCACCTTTTTATTTTGTATTGTTTTTGTGTCATACATTTCCTGTAATGGAAGTGTTAATTTTACTGTACTTTTTGGTACCTTTTTGGAATCTAATGTATTGTAAGGTATTTTACATGTGTTCTGATTCACCATGACATGGATATTGAAGCTATCCTAGCTTTTGAAATAAAAAAGGCGTAATCTAGTGTCTTGTGCCATTCTTCAGCTATGTATTAGTAAAACGGCAGTATATTTTTCCCAGAACTTAGTTCATGGCAGTACCTTGCTAGATGAAGAGTTGGGCTTGCTGCTTTTAATCTGGAAACGAGAGGGTTGTGTTGGTAGGTAGTTGTGTTGACTCTAGCAGTTAAGTGACAGCTGAAAACTGCAGTCACTTCTGCCTAGAGGTTATGGAAGAGAGCCTGGGTGGAAATCCCCAGCTGTTGGGGCTGTGCTGGTGGCGCATGTTCTAGACAGGTACAGAGGTAGCTGTACTACCTGCAGTAATGCCTGCAGTGGAAGGCTCTTGTGGGTGGAGCCAAAGGCTTAGGTTTCAGGTAGGGTTTGGCAGGCAAGACAGCCTTGCAGGAGGAGGCTTAAGAGGTATGCAAGAAGCTAGCTGCATTTCCTTCATGTTTCAGCCTCTTGAGTCAGAGGTTTCTAGAAGTTCTTAACAGTATGTACATATGTCATGAAAGACAGGTTAGAACAGACATTAAATTATGAATGCAAAACTTCAATTTTTGCAGTCTTACTGTGTACCAAAAACATAGTAAAGAACTTCCACCTGAAGCTGTGGGAGGAAAAACAAGAAAGGTGCATCTAATAATACAACTCTTTTTCTAGAGATACTCTGTCCTTTTTGTTGGTTAGCTTACCACAGTTTTTAGGTAATAACTACTATGTATTTCGCTTGTCTGGTTGCAGAGTAGTCCCAGTCTTAAACTTAAAAATATTCCAAGTAGCAAGTACTGCTGCACAAAGTAAATTTCTAATCTTTGTTGAAGTAATCTGTTTGATTTTTTCTTTTACTTCAAAAGCTGATATTTTTCTTTTAACATATAATTTGATCCAACAAACCAGCAGTGGAACCAAATTGAGTAACTAAGAAAGGAGAAAATGATGTTAATAGTAATTTTTACTTTTTCTTTTTTCCATGAAGGGAGCAGCAATTCCTACAGGAATGACAGCGTGCTGCTCCCTGCTGGCTGTCCTTGAAATTAAAAACCATAAAGTTAACCTCAGACTTACAACTCAGACTTAAGTTGTAGTCTCGAATATAAAAGAGTGAAGCAGGATCTTTAGTTGGTAGTGGGCACATCAGCTTTACAGTTGAAATGTGTAACAAAGTGCCCAACCTGAAAAATATAAAACTATAGACAGTTGAAACAAGTAATATTTAGAAGGATTACTCTTGAAGATTGGCAAGTGAAGTGCTATATTCTCTTGCATCTTTTTACTTGTTTTTCTTTTGAAGTAAGGGTTAGAATACCTTCCTAGCAGGTGGTTTGCCCTCTGAAGGGGGATTTGGGCAGTGTTATGCCAGAACCATACTGCTGCAGTATTTCTGTCTAGTTTGTTAGCAATAGCTTATCAACCTGTTACTGGTTCCCTTTGGAAGTAGATCGTCGAGTAATGCTTCATTTCAGTGGTTGGACTAGATGATCTTAGAGGTCCTTTCCAACCTTAATGATTCTATGATTCTTTACAGGTGATGTGGCCTCAGGCAGAAATGGGTTACTAGCACTTATAAGAAGAGCTTGCTTTCCCTTTCTTGCATGAAAAGTGTGTGATGCAAAGAAAATCTTACTGTCAGGTGAAAGCAAGGGCTTGTACACAGTTGTTTCTGAAATGGCTGTAACATACTGTTCATTTACTAACTGTACTCAGATATTTCTTGAGAACAGTATTTCCTAAGAACAGCTGTGGGAGCTGTGACTTTGAGCTGTCTGTTCCTCAGGAGATGAAGCTCTTTACTTCATCTGCTCATTGAGAGCTTGTTAATTGAAGTGCTAACTAGGACCTCATCAGCTTGAAACTGCTTACTCAAACTGATCAGAGGAGCCTGAGAAAAGCATTTCCAGGAATGGAGTTCCACTGGTAGCAGCAGATAACAAAAAAAAAAAAAAAGCCAGTTGGCTCATCTTAATTTTTAAACAGGCACGACCTGAAAGAGCATGAGTTTGGAAAACTTAGTTTATAGTAGCTGCTAGAAAGATATTGCTTTAAAACCAGTTTTAGATACTCTGTTAAATAAAAGCCAATCCCACATCTGCCACAGTTGAATATTTATTTCTCCTAAAGCTTTCACTTAATAATAAGATAACTGAAAATAACAAAATCAAAGGTTAACTTATCTGGTCTAATACGTACTAAGATGAGGATTAAATGTACATTATCACAGTAGAGTAACTTTTCTTAGTAGTAGGTCTTGAAACATGTTTGAAACCTATGGAAAGAAAATAATGTTATGTTTTTCTTATAAAGTATCATTAAAAGAAATCTATTTCATTGCCTCATTTTCACTTACATACAATGTAAGTGTTGTACTTAGTGAGAGGTTTTTTTCGCATTCTTGCTTTTTTGTAGAGAAGCATTTTTTTCCTTATTTTAGATTTGCAGATAAGCATATTAAGTTATTAGGTGTCTAAGTTAAACTGATACTGTGAGTAATCCTTCTGTTCTCAAGAATCCATAGTACTAACAGCTGTATGTCTTTTTTATTAACTTGCTAAATAAAATATTAACACACTTTTCTTGTGCCTGCTATACTGCTATTGCTCTGAACTAGAAACTTGCATTCCCTTAGCATAGAGCCATAGCACCGTGAATAGCGTGGTGCTTGAGGCCAAGTGATTACATTCATATCCAGGTATCTAAAACTTTACTGGGTGCTTGGTTAAAAAACACTTCAAGACAACATTCAGTTGTCTTCTGGTAGGGAGTTGGTTTAAGGAAGTACTGGGTGTACTAAAGTGTTGTTATCAAGGTGTTAACTGTAAGGTTATGCTGCTTGTAAGTGTATGGTAAGATGAGAAGTAGCTTGATGTTCTGCAAGCTACAGAAGGACCTCAACAGATATTAGATTTAGAAAGACTTAACAGCTGTTTGTCTTACTGATGCCCCAAACCTAGTGGGCAGGGGGGTAAGCTGATGCTTAATGAAGTAACAGCCATGAGCTTGAAATGATTCTGTGTGGTTTAAAGAAAGCAGGGGCTGTAGTAGTTTTATGAAGGGCTATAAACAGTACTTTCACTACTAGTTTAAGTGGAGGTTCCCAAATAGTGACATGCAGAATGAATGTAGTGTTGGAGCACGTGTTCTTAAGGGCAGTTACAGGAAGACTTGCTGAGAGGTAGTTATTAATTTTACTGTAACTAGGCACTATATGAAGCTACAGCTGCTTCTGTCTGGGGGCTAAAGACACTTGAGCAGCTGGCACAAGAGCTGTGACAGCATTAGGCATTTCTTAAATATGTTCGACCTAGCTTGAAAACACAAATGAATTCATAAGTGTTACACTAGAAGTATCAGACTATTAGAAGGTAGCAGTGAATTCCAGATGCAGCCAAGACTAGTCCACGCTTCTAACTGCCAAAGAGCTCTGAACTAATTTGAAGTAAAAGCAACTCTGAGGAAACCTGGTCCTGCTCTACTGCCAGGGTCAGTGCCTGTGAAGCATGTTTAGAAACATCAACTTCTAAATAGTGATATAAAGAGTGAATATGGATAAGTACCTGCTTAGATTGAGTCAGTGGATGTTTTCTCCTGGTTTAGATGTTCTTTTTCCATATCTGAAAGGACAACAAGCAACAATTTAACAAACCTGGAGTTGACACACAGTTTTAGACTAACTTGTTTAACACTGAATGTGCACAAGTTGTACAAAAAGCATCAAATGCATCTAGAAGACAGCTCTTGCCAGTGAAATTTGGTTAGCTTTGACAGCTGCTGTAAGTGAACACTACCCTCTGTAGCAAAACTTGTATATATGCATCCTTGTAGTAAAAAGTTCTGTTAGAGAACATGAATTGTTTGGAAGCGAAGGCTAAATTCTCACTGATTGACTTTCCTATGTGTTTAGTGTCTGCCATTTTGGCTTTGTTTCAGGACTTCTGAAAAGCAGGTTCAGCTGCTTAGTCCAACAGTAACTGCTATAAGGCATTTTTTTAAATCTGTATTACCTGTTAAAAGCTTGTCAATGGTGTCCACTACAAATTTTGCATCCTCCATAGCAAAACACATTGGGGGCTTGAATTTAAGTACATTTCGTCCTGGCCCATCTGTACTCAGTAGAATATATTCTTCCTTAAGCCTGGAAAGAGTGGTAACAGAATTATTTTCACCTTCTGCACATAGTTCAGAAAACTTCAAAAACATCATAATGGTGGCTGTCCAGACAACGCTTTTCAGTGCTGACTGGTGCTAATTTGCTATACTTCAGCAGCTAATGAATGGCAGGCTGCTCTGAAACTGTATGTTTGTCTAGCACACTGAAAAGCCACATGATTGTTGCACGTACCTTGTTATTAAATACTCTGCTTCTTCTGTGGCTGGGGTCCTTTTTGCTTGATCTTTAATTAAGTCCACTCCAATGAATAAGCCAGAACCTCTTTGAAAGAAATGTAAATAGTCAGTCTGTGACACAAGAAAGAACTGCAAGTGAACTGAAGGATTGAGAGAGACAGTTAAGGTTTGGTCTCACAAAAGTCTGAAAATTGGGGATGGTTGTTGGCTACTGTTTTAAAAAAAAAAAAAAAAAGTATAGCAATCTTGCAGAAATGTGGTAGTATGGTATGGGCTTGTCCTATGCTGTCATTCTGAGTAGATAAATGATAAGTACATTTTTCATTCCACTTACAAACTGTGTTCTTTGTGCACTAAACTACTTTTGTTTAAACTTTTGTCTTGACAACTGATATATCAGAAGTGTTATTTCTTAGAGATGCACAGAAATTAATAAAGCTAAACTGGCCTAGAGTGGCAAAGTTTATCAGACTTTTGATTAGCTCAAGTATGGTTTAATCCAGTGGACAGTAAGCTGCTGGTTTTTTTTTTTTTTGGCTAATGCCACAGCTCTGAACAGTTTCATAAAACTACAGTTTTTTTAAACTTGGTCACGATAAACCAAACAAAAAGCAGCTAAAAATGTAAATAAGGCATTGATACCTGACATCACCAATGATAGGGTGCTTGATTTTTTGCTCCATGAGTAGCTTCATCAAGAAGTTGCCAACTTCTGTGGCATGAACCTGAAGCTGTTCCTTCTCTATCACATCTAAAACAGCTAATCCAATGGCACATGAAACAGGGTTTCCTCCAAACTGAGTTCAGGAAAGAAACATATGCAGTCTTGTCAATGAAAGCACAGCCTCAGTGATAACATGAGCACACTAAGATTTATATCTGACAGTCAGTAATTAGTAAGTCAGGTACCAGAAAGATGTAATTAATATAAGCAGTAACTGTTTGAGTGATGAAGATTAATTAAGGACAAACTCCATGATTCTCATTTTAGTACTGACTCCTGTTAAAAAAAAAAAAAAAAGACTGTGGTCAATTTTTACTTACTGTGTTGAAATACTCTACTCCTGTGGCTGCAAACGCTTCTGCAACTTCTTTTGTGGTTGCTACACAGGCAATAGGGTGCCCATTACCTATGGGTTTCCCCATAGTGACTATGTCAGGTATAAACTCTTCTCCCTGAAGCTGGAATGCCCAAAAGTGCTTGCCAACCCTGCCAAAGCCGACCTGAATTTCATCAGCAACAAATACACCTCCTGCCTTGTGCACATGCCTGTAACATAACGGTGATTATATGCTAGGAAGGGAGTAAACAAATATTTTCTGTTTTGCAACATAGAGAAAGTAATAATTTGCAAACTTCTTGAAAACAAACCGTGAAAGAAAACTTATACACCACATGTTTAAAAAGAGGCAGATTCATGTAAAAGCATTCATCTTTCCTATGCATCTAAGGCTATATGCCACAGGAGACAGAAATTCTCCTATCATCTGCATGTAGGACAAATTTTACGTTTTACAAGTGAAGATAATGAATGTCTGACTACTTACTCTGCAACTTTCTGGAAGTAGCCTTCTGGTGGGATGATTTGACCACCAACGCTTGGCAGAGATTCAGCAAAAAACGCAGCAATCTGAAACATATGTACTGTGTAATGACTGAACACACAGCAGAGACATTTGTGGAAGTTGTGTTAACAGTTAGCATTGACAAGCACCTGTACTGATCTCTTATGCAAGACAAAATGTCAAAGAAATCATTTCTTACCTTTCTGCCTTTCTTATGTGCTTGCTTAATAATATTTTTTACTTCATTAGCATAGGCTGTTACTGGATCTTCATGGTCCTCTCTGTATAATCCTCTGTATGTGTCTGGAACGGGAGCCTATGCAAAGGAACAGTATTCTGTGTTCAGTAAATCATAAATAAATCTTCATTTAATTTAATCAGTAGTTATAGGCTGAAGTACATACCACATGGACCCATTCCTTTTGTCCTTCTAGATTTCTGAATTTATATGGGCTTATGTCAATCAAGGATGTCAGATGTCCATGGTAAGCACTTAAAAAACAATCAGCAGAACTAAATAGTAATTTCCTCATTATCAAGAGTTCTTTAGGCTCAACATTACTGACATGTAAAGAGTAGATGAGTTACATCACCTGGTAGGAATAGTTACTAGTGAGAACAGCTGTAGGATTTCTAAGGGATGCAGGCAGACAACAATCCTTGGCACTGGTTTTCCAGAGCCAGCAAGTAGAATCACAACAGTGTAAGTCACAGAGAGCATTAAAAGACTGCAGGAGTCAGTGTTCCTGGTCTGCTTCTGAATATCCTCCAACAATGGAATTTTCAGTTTCTCTGGACATCCTGCTCTAATATTTGACCAACTTTATGGCAGAAGAGCATTTTCCTATGTCTAATCAGAATTCTTCAGATTCCTCCATCTGTTGGCTGTCCCTTTTTCCTGTCACTGTGCAGCTTCAGACCTGGCTTTGTGGGGTTTTTTTTGTGTGCGCCTTCTCCTAAGAATAAACAAACTCAAATCTCACATCTAGAGCTTCCCCTCCTGTAATGACAGGGCAGTGCTGGCTTTGTTTCATCATGGCAAAGCCTGTCCTGTGCTGGAGAGCCCCAACTGAATGCAGTCAGTACTTTAGGAGTGGTCTCACAAATACTGAGCAAAGGAAAATTCTCTCAACTTCTTAGCTACAATTCTTCTTACAATAACAAGTGCTCTGACCACAGATATAAACTGAGCCTTGTAGCCTACAGTAGATAAAATTGCCAAAATACTTACTGGTCTAGAACTATAACGTCCTCATGCTTTGTAAACTGTCGTGCCATTCTTAGGGCAAGATCATTAGCCTCAGATCTATAATTGAAAAAACTGGTGTTTAATTGCAGATACCGGAGGTTTGAAACTTGCAGAGAACAGAGAACTAGATGCAAGGTATTGTCAGATCCCTGAGTAATCAGCAGTGCGCTGCACTCATTAGATAGAACTGCTTAACAGAGTAGAATCCATCTTTATAAAGCTGGATTGCAGACACTACGTGGAAGCAGTTTCCTTTTTATTTTAATGCATAGGATGCTTGGGAATACAGGAACCTCCCACAAGTAGAAATGTGCATCATAACACTGAATTTTGAAAACATGTCAGACCAGAAGCAAATACAGTAAACCTTTATGTTAATGTAGTCCAAGGCCTTAGAATAAAAAGCTGTACAAATAAAGGACTAGCTCAGTTTTCTGACAGAGCTTGGTAAGTACATTCTTGAGATCTGCTGAAATTCTAAATGATAACAGTTTCTTCATAATCAAACAACTTCAATTCCTTCTGTTTTTTTTAAATATATTCATCACTCCAGAGCATGCAGCTGGCTGCTGATGTACTTGTCTGTACACAACCAGGGCAAAAAAAATAGTAGTGATTCTGACATATCTGACTTACCCAGAATTCAAGAAATAAAAAGTGCACAACTTCTCAGGTAGCTTTTCTGAAAGTCTCTCTGCATAATCAGTCAAGTTGTCATGAAGATAACGAGAATTTGTATTTAGCAATTGGTTTTGCTCATGGGCTGCTTTTACTACATCAGGGTGACAATGTCCAACTGCAAGAGAGGGGAGAGAGAGGTTTGAGAGTTCCTTATTACGCAGTGTCTTTAGCAGGCACATAATGACTTTGTGCTTACGTTTCTCCTAGCAGTACAGAGCTACTGTCAGTGTTGTTCATATTTGACTAGTTAGGCATTAGTGATGTTGTCAGCATAGGACAACATTGGTATGCCTTGAAAGCTCTTGTGGAAAACTTCCATTGTTCAGAAAGGTTTGAATTGGTTGTTGTATTTCATGGCTGGCGGTTAAATACTGAAAGTTGATATGCTGAAACAAACAGCACCTAATTTTTGAATTTAGACATTTGAATAGTTGTATTTGCAGATAAGCTTTACCATCAAATAATTATATATTGTCCATATATATTGTCATTACATATTGACAGTAATACACGGTATGACTATCAGCCCTGACCAGCAATTTCAAGCACCGTAAGAAACAGCTACTTCATAAAGCACAAGTAATGCACCACACTGGGCTGTGGTCCTTCAGTAGTACCCTTAGTGACATCTGTGAGTACAACAAACTGTCCTTCATTAATTTTACAGTCAGATGCTTGACCTGAATTTTCTTGCACAGAGCTCTGTGAAGTGTAGATATGTGTTTTTCTGTGAAGGTAGAACAGGAAGCAAGTCTGGAAAGCATCATGTTGATGCAGAAATCCAAACGTGAGCAGAGGTTTCTCAAGCTATAGGCTCAGTAAAAGTTTCTTCCACTTTTCCAATTAAACAACCGCTTTCCCCAACACCATGGAACAGTGGTAAAAAGTACTGATTGTTCCTTGCCCTGCTTTAAAACCTGGTATCGAACAATAGAACCTGAACTTACCATGAGCAACGTTGTTTATGCAGTCAAGGTACTGTCTTCCGTTCTCATCATACATGTACTGGCCTCTTGCCTTTACAATCTTCAGTGGATCATCAGGATAAAACAGTTTGCAAGAAGAGCTGTGTAAAGCATCAGAAAGCAGAATAAGCCTTAGTGAAGTCCCCCAGTCATCTAGTAATACTCTCAGTGTAGTTAATCAAGAGAGAGACAGCTCCCCAGTGCAGCAGCACATGCCATCCTCCTCCTCCTGGCCGCTAAAAGCACAGCTTAGGATGGAGAGAAGAATAGTCTTTGTGCTCTGACTCGATAGCCAAGTTTTGTTAGGCTTGCAGGCACAAAACCGCACTCCTGAACAAAAAATCCTTCACTGGCAATCCCCAACCATAGCACACAAACAGGACTTGGTTCTGAAGTTTCATCTGATTGTAACTACAGTTCCTTGGTGTCTATGCTGGCTGCCCTCCCTGTTCTTTAAACTATTTGTGCCTGTATCTCATTAATCACTTTTATTATACTCTTGGTATTCTTGCTAAAGGCACAGTGCAGCTGATTGTTATATCTTTACAGAGCTTCACTAACGCTAACAGAAGCCTTGAGTAATTTATTTTAAAGTAATTTATAAATAGTAATTTACTTAAAAGTCTGGGCCTGCTTAAGTGAGCTTGCGTTGCCAGAGGAGAGCTGCAGGATTTCACTGACACTGAAGGACAGTGCCAACCTGTAATACCTCATTTAATAAATATTGCCTAGAAAAGTAAAAGAGAAATAACACCGTATGCTGAGAAGTATCAATTAATTAAAAGAGTTGGTGTTGAAATTAGACAGTAGTTCACTGTCTCTCCCCTACAGGAATACTACACCCTTTGTACACACTGGCAGTAGGATGACAGAACAGGTTTGTCAGTAAAATCACACTGACAGTTCAGCCTCTGCTTAGAAAGCAGTAGTGAGGCTGGGCTGGATCCCCAGGAACAGAGCAAATGAGTTACAAAAGAATGTAATGCACAGGCTGGTACCTTCAGCTCAGTGCTGCTAGCACAGATCTGGCTGCAGCACCGACCCCAGCCTGCCTTCTGTCGGCACGGATGGAGGGAGCCTTCCTTTCCAAACATGTAACATTCCTGCGGTCGGACAGAAATGCTCTTGCTGCCGTTCCCGGTAGCATTCTCCAGAACCAAGAATTTTTAAAATCGTTTGGAACAAAGCGAGTGATTGAAAGCCCGGAGATGAATCTTGTGCTTAGTTTTGGTACGTGAATTCTGACGGCGTTCAGCTCCGACAGGTGGGCTCTCACTGTGTGCTCTCATTCTGTGTCAGCAGCAGCAGGAGCCGCTCGGCAGCCGCGTGGTTTGCTCGCTCAGAGCCAAGCGGCCAAAGATCGCTTTGTAAGCAGTTCTGAGCTCCAACAGCCGCGCCGTGCCGTCCGCGTTTTGAGGGCTCTCTTAGTTTCATAACCTTCCTTAAACGCTAATTATACGAGTAAAGCCCAGGTTCTGCTCGCTCCCGGCACCGTCTCAATCCCAAAGCTGAAATACAGAGCAGGGAGCGCTCACACCCCCGGAGCGCCGCGCACGCAGCCCCGCTCCGCGCCCCGCGCTCGGTACGGCCGCTGCCGGCACTTACCCGATGATCCGCCGCCGTAAGGACAGTGTCTCCTGGCGAGAGCGCTGCGCTCGCCTCATGGCCGCCGTGTCCGCGGCCCGGCCCAGGCGGGAGGAGCCGGCTTAGGGCGGCAGCCCGTCCGCCCCGCCGCCGCTCCCCCTGCGGGCCGCCGGCCGGCACTGCGCTCCGTGCCGGAAGGCGGTGCTGCGGCCCCGCCCGCTCCCGAGCCCGCCGTCAGCAGCACCGAGGGGTGCGGCGTAACTGACCCGTGCTTTGGGCTGCCCGGCGCCTGCTGGGCTGGGCTGCTCTGGGAGCGGGTCTGTTTGCGCTGGGAGGTTCTGGCAGCGCACGGCTCAGAGTGATTTGTGAGGGTAGCTTAGGGGTTAGAGCTTTAACACGCTGCACTCCTTAAGCAAAAGTAAAACAAACCTCTTATGGTTGTGCTCCTGTGTTGAGTCTGCTCCCCTGCAGCTGCCCCAGAAGCAGCAGGTGGGATAAAAGCCAAACGCTGCTCTCAGGTGAGAGGAGACAGTCCTGGTCATGTTGGGATGGAATTCCTTAAAGAAAAACACAGAGATAAGAAGCAAAAGGGACACGTGTGTGGCACGCTGCTGCTGTAGGTGCTTATCCCCAGCGGAGCCATCAGCATGCTCCATTCTAAAAGACACCAAATTTCTATTTTTTCATTTCAAGTATGCATTTGTATTCATTTTTAATGATATTTTAATGATATTCATGTTTAATTCAGTTTTAAACTGATAACAACTGAGAGGACTCAGACCGTTTGACTGCGTACCCAGCAGACCAGAATTATTTTCAGTTGCAGTTATTTGGTAAACACAGGGGCAGTTTAAGTTTTGTGTTAATATGGGGAACCCCAAACCAAATTGCCATAGATTTAAAACTATACTGAGCTTCAGTGGTAAAACTCAGATGTTGCATAAGTCAATTCTGAACAGTCAAAATGAATTGAAAGACAGTAGAAGAAATATGAATAGTGGCCATTAATCTTTATTTGAACTCTTGTCTGGTTAAGATACTTTGCAGCTATTTATAACAACAACCGGAACATTTACAATTTGCTTATTCTTGGTTACAAATGCAGAGTTCATTATACATATTCACACAATTGTAAAAGCAACCTGTACAGAGAGACCATTTCTAAACATCAAGTCTTTGCTTTTATTACAGAAAGCACAAGGAAATGTTTTTGGAGGTCTCGAGCTGATGTGCTGTCCATGGCAGCTTTAAGCTAGAAATACGTACTGCAGGACTAATTAATAACCATTTTAACATGTTAAAACAATGGATACAAAATACTGTCAATTAATGCCTTCATTTTTAAAACAGTTGTTCCCCAAAGCAGTGAGTAAATAGAACACTCTTTATGGCATACACAATTAAAAATTACAACATGTTGCAAATAGAAATGTTAAGCACTTTTTTTTTTTTTTTTTTTAAAGTTTTTAGTATTTATATGTATCTATATATTTTTTAAAAGTGGTAAATTTTACAGAGGCTTCCTCAGCTTTGTATACGATAGCACGTAAATACAGCCACACAAACTACTGCTCAGGGTGCTCAGCATGGACACGTGTGCTGCACACACAGCCCTGGCAGCTCTAACAGCCCCAAAGCAATGCAGCCATTCCCATAAATAAGGCTTGCATAACTTGGGAGAGGATTAAGCCTTATCAGCATAATTTCAAACAGGTACAGATAAAACTCATATCGCATACATTTCTCTCAGTTGTGTTATAAATAAATCAGATTTTCAGTTAGGTTTTCATACCAGCAGCTACAGTTTCTCTACTTACATCATTTCAGAAGTGGCACCTAAATGCTAGAGGACAGACCAGTGTTAAAAGATCTGTATGCCCAAAGCAACGTAATGTGGCAGAGCTGGTGGCTTTCAGTTCTGACTGGTATTTTGTGCTGAATATTTGTCATAGTGAGCATTTTGTTTTCAGTAAGATACCAAAGAAGAACCACAAATAGCAATGCAAGAGTTGCTAAGTTATGAAATTGCCTATACAGTGGCATTCCATGTATGAAACTGCCCAGCAAACACTACAGGACTCCAATTCCCATTCTAACTAATGGCAACTTACCATCTCTATTGCCTAATTCAGAAATTCAGTGGGTACCTGCAAAACCAGGTCCTACCTCTGTTTCATAGCAGAAGAGCAGATTTGAAAAGCATCCCCTTCATAAACTCTTGTAAAATGCACTTTTAAAAATTAAATATACAATTCAGTGTTTAAAAGAACATAAAAGCCCATGTGTTCCTAGTGCCATTTACACAGAACTGTATTTCAGATACTTGGGACATCTCCCTTTTAATCTCCATTAACAGCCACGTTATATAAGAAGCCACACACAGACATACAAGTTCACTGTGTCTGTTCCACGAAAAAGCAACTGAGAACTCCTACCACAGCTTAGCGAACAGGGATTAATTGTCCTAAGACATAGGAAAACCGCAAATGTTAATGTATTTCTTATTCTACTCTGCTGTCAATAATGCCACTTCTTATGCATTGAAAACTCATGTTTCCCAGCTCCCCTGCAGTTTTCCCCCAAGCCCTTTACAGCAGTATAGAGTCCTAAGGTCTATCAAGGCCGTCTGCCATTCATTTCCAAGTGTCAGGTTTTCAGCACTTGCTTTAGCTGCAGCTTATGCAACAGTCAGACCCTTCTGGTGTGCCATCTAATGAATGAAAGCATGGGAAAGCTGCAGTGGTTCACTTGAGAACACGAGAAGTAATGTTAAGTTCACAGGTACAGACTATATACTCACTGGTTTGCTTCAGTACGTTATTTTTTTCTCCCCCCAGCTGTTATGAACAAGCTTAAAAGTTGTTCTGTAAGATTGCTGAGCTCAGTGTACGCCACATTGTCTCACTGAAGTATCTTAAGCCTCTTCAAATCTTACTGAAATATTTCATCTCACTTTACAGTCTACCTGGTTAAGCCTGGCTGCACAACCAAACACACCAACAAGTACATGATGAGTCAATCTGAGGGCCAGCAATGAGGCCAAGTACAGTACAGGGCCTTTCCTGCACCCTGGTGCACCCTGAGGATGGTGGGGCCAAATCTGAGCCTGGCTGTGCTGACGTAGGTCAGACCCAAACCTATCCTGGTTCAGCCACATACATACAGTATTAATCCAAGAAAAGCAGCCTGGGGACGCTTTATTTTTAATCATTAGTTGTTACTAATATTTTTACATATATTCATAAAAATCTATTGTCTGTAAGGAAAGTAATTCAGAGCTTTCAGTCTAAAAGTTTAGAATGGAAACTTGGCTGGCAACCTACTTTTATTTGCATAACACTTCAAATTAATTATCCGGGCAACAATTGGATTAAAAAGAATACGATTGTGTTTCCCAAGAGTAAATACAAGAATTGGGAAACAGATGCAAACTTCTGTCTGTTTTGCAGCAATTGATTTGAACCTCAGCTGGCAAAGGTGCATCTGTGCCTACGTATGCAGTCAGTTATGGAGCAGTGCTGTTATTTTTGGTGCAGGGATGGTTTCCCATCATAGCACCGAATTTGTTTCTGTTCAAAAAAGATGGCCTCTAGAGGGCAGCATGAAATCAGCATTCAATGCCCAGGAAAGCCACGCTCTAACATGCCTTTGTGGTGAATTTACAGGACGCATATATTGAGAGCAGGATGGTTATTTACCATTACAGCAATTTTTCTGGCATTTTAGCATTGTAATTAAGCTAGGTGTTACAGCTGGCTGAATTCTTTCATTCTAGCCCCCAGACCAGCAGACAGGCTGTCCTACACGAAAGCTCATAAACAAACATGCTTCCTGGGCACTGGGTAACTACAACCACCAGAAATGCCTGCCTAGCATCCTGTGTCATTCTCCATGGAATACATTTTATCACTGCATAGGCTGCTTTGAGCCACTAAACCTCGCATACATTTTGCTGGCTTGTTAATTTCAAATGCAGAATGTATGAAATGACAGAAGATTAAAAAACAACTCAGTTAAGTACTTCAGGTTTTCTAAAAAAGAAAACACATTCGGAAGTCTGTTACCATCATAAAAAACTTTCTATTTTTAAATACACAGGAGAAAAATCTATATATGAAAAGAAATTCATTGCCATTATATATACAGCAAGAATTAGAAGCAGAGTATACAACAAGTTTTCCCCATGAAAATAAAACCAAGTATATGACTTATTTTTTTCCCTCCTTCTTCTTAAGCTGAAATCCCAGTGCATTGGGTCTTGGAAACAGTTTCAGTTTGGAGTCAGATTGGATTTTATCTACCACCTGTTTCACAGCCCAGAGAAATACTGGTGAACTAACTGGCCCAGCCTGTGATTAGGCCAGCTGCAGAATTCTAATTAACCCCACCTGCCCCTCCACTCAGGCTCACACCATGGCAAGGGACCTTCTGGAGCTGCCAGCACACTCCTGGCACCAGACCAGACCTACAAACAGGGGCAATTTTGGCCACCAAAATACAGACACAGCCGAGCTCTGGGCACTCAGCTACACTCACAGCAACACCAATCCTGGAGCACAGACAGACCTCACAGCTGCTTGTCCTGTTCCTGGGAGCAGGCAGACAGCTTATCTGGGCCTAATGGGAATCACCACACTTCTATAGTCAGTTATATCACAGACCACTGAATGTTGTTCTGTAAACTGGGATAAACACGAGTTTGGCTTGGCTTAATTTCCCCCACGACAAAGAACTTAAGCGTTTTAACCCAAATATTTGTTCACTGATGAATTCACAAAGCTCACACACCAACCACTGTACTGAGATAAATCAATTGCTCAGTCACAGTGACCTACATTTCATCGCGTCAATCATCTTTATTGCTACTGACATCTAGTGGCAACACTTAGCTGCATTTTGGAGTTCCTGCAGAAATTTCTTACCTTCTCTCAAGCCAGAAAAAAGGGAGAATTTTGGGGGGAGAAATGCACTGTGCTCTGTGAGTGGCTGAGATCATTCCTGAGTTTGGACTGAGACCACCAACGCTACCCAAAAGTAAAATTCATCTTTGTGAGCTGTTTGCATATTCCGTGTTCTAAAAAGACCTACGTAAACATTTTCATATGGAAAGAGAAAATAATCAACTGATCTGGCATGAATCTGCTGAGCAAAGCACATCCTTTTTTTAACTCTTCCCAATAAGATCATGACTGCTCTGAAACAACTTTTTGTTTAACAACCTCCCCCAAATATGTGTGCATGGGAAGCACATGGATCTAAATACATTTCCTCTTAGACTGTGCAGTCACTGCAAAGTGAACAGTTACTCTGATATGGTTTTTCAGTTTGTGCTGCATGATGGATGAGAAACACTGAGCTCAGAACACACAGGCTAAGCACAGCGGTCCCCATGGAAGGATGAGGAATACAGGTTACACCTGCAGTCCCTGGCAGTATTTGTGCCTGGAGATCTGTACCATGCCCTGTGCCCTGAAGCTCTGCTTGCCTCAGGTTTCAGCTGCTTTGGTAATGGTTGGGACTGCCTGGGACCAGCAGACCTGTAACTAACCCCCTACTGGTTAGTTTCTCAAAGCTGGTGAGGATAGGTGCCACATAGTGCAGGACTTATCCCTGCCAGCACTTCCCATGGAAATGCAAGCAACAGCAGACCAGAGAAGCTGCTTTGCACAGGTTTAGACACACACTGTATATCTGATGCATCCTGAGCACACCAGACTTGCTGCTTGTGCATAGGTGGACCTGCTTTGTACGTGCAGGATGCACCATATTCAGTGTGCAGCACAAACCCAGCAGAAGGCCTTAACCTGGGGATTTTCAAACATTACCTCTGCAGTGTCCGTCAGCCGAGGTGGCAGCACTGATGGGTATGGATCAGCCACAGCCCCGTGCTAGGATGCTGCTTCCAGCCTTCCTCCTGGGCTGGCACGGGAACATTACGAGGGGATGGGGAGGAAAAACCCCAGTGAAGAAGTTCAGTGGCTTTAAAAAGAGCTCTCCTGCTCTGCTGAGAGCAAATGGTGTGGGTTCTATGGCACCAGGCTCTGTGTTGGGAGGGGGAAGGCGACCATGCACAGCGGTTAGAGCAATAGGTAAAGCACTGTTCTGGTATTCTGTATCAATGTTTTGCAGGCCTGGCAGTGGTCACAGTTGATGCCTACAAGCACTGGATATTCCACAAGTTGAAGACGGAATACTGACTTGTTTACCTGAAGATAATAGGACTTCGGGGGTATTTCCTCAGAGAAAATATAAATTTTAATATAATTTCATAAGCTTTGGAGGTTAGCTTGTCTTGTAGCTTCAGTGATATCAAACTTCTTTGAGTAGGAGCTAGATAGAAAGCTGTTTAGTTTTTGCCAGCATATGTAAAACAAGACTTTTCTACCTGCATTGTAGATTGTTTGTGGACACTTCCAGATTCTTGTGCTTTCTGCAGTCATTCTGGGGACTGAACTCTCATTGATATCGATAGAGGTTCCATGAACAGGACATCTGCAGGATATCAAGTGTAGAAGCCCACGGTGTGGTTTGGAGTAGTGAACTGCTTTAGTTTGGAGATGACTGGGGCAGATGGAAAGAGCAACTGTACATTAAGGGAACAATTACAGATCTTCCCAGTGACATCAATGAGAGATTTGCCTTCGACCTTCCACAGAAGAATTAGCTTTAATTTGGGACAGCAAAGGGGGTTTTTCAAAAGCATTAAAAGCCACTGGGAGCTCTTTCAGCAGCTCCTTTCGCCTTTAAAAACCCTCACACCAAAAGTGATAGCTAACATCATAAAATGGAAGCAAATAAAATGTATTTTCTTTGCTGTTTGAGTTACATAATTCTTGTTTCTTGATTTGTTAGTTGATCTGAATTGATTTAATTTGTACAGTGACCAAAAACGCGGTCAGTAACTAATTGGTAAAGATGTGAAATATAGCCACAAAGCAAGCAGTGTGTAGGTGTAGGCCCTAGGCAGTGAACAAAACTAGATAACAGAAGATTACTGCCTATGTCTGTAAATCTTGTGTGTCTGCTTTGACCAAGCCAACGTCCAATTCAGCATTTAACAGCAGATGACAAATGCTCCCAGCTGACTGAAAGGATAAGCTCAAGAACAACTAGAACACAGTCATCAGACATCAGAAACCTCACCCTGTCTGTGCAGAGCACTGAGCACATAGCTGCTGCTATTCACAACACCAGGGCTAGCATTACTTACACTAGGATGGAGCTGTGCAGGGCGTGTTCCCCCTGGAGCCATCAGTCGCATCTCCTCCCACCGGTCCTGCAGCACCAGCTGCCCTGAGATGCAAAGGAACCTCCTCACAGGTTCAAATCTACTCAGTGCACCAAAAATGACTCCTTGCATCAAGTGGTTTGTCAGTACAAAAATCAGGCTCTTAATTTCACTTCAGCCTCCTACATAGAGCCTAGCAACTTCTATTGGGCTAAGGTATTTCCTCCAGAAACCATCTGTGAAATCAGAAAGGCGTTAAAGCCACGGGGATTCATTCCATCGCCACTCTGGTTAGGATTAGACAGACTCACCAATAAAAAGCCATGGCTTGTTTTATGCGATTTTACATAGCTTCCACTTCAGCCATTGGATGCATCTTTGAACATCTTTCTCTGTGCAGTGTAAGAACTTATTGCTATAAAGTATCTCCTCCTCGTAAAGGAATCTGATTGCCTCTTGATCTTCATTGTAAGCTGAACAGACTCGGCTGTAAGCCATTGTATTCCCTGCAAAATAATTTTTCATAGCTTTCTACAGCACAATCCCTGTTTTTCCAAAATCCTAGGAAATGTTACTCACGTTTGCAATTCTTTCCCTTTTATATTTCTCTCATTAATGCAACACGTAATAGAAATTCTAATCAACCTTTGATTCATTACCTTGCTCTGCATGGATGTGCCTGAGATAAGTTAGAGACCAAAAAAAGCACTGAAAGAGGAGGACAAGAGGAGCGTGCAGAGCTACACAGAACACAATCAAACCACATGAGTACAAGGAAATCAAATGCAAATGAATCCTATAGACCGAGACAAACACTCCGAATTCCAAGTTTTGGAACCCCAATAGCAACAGCATACACTCTGTTGCTTAATGGAAGACTTCAGCAGAATCCCTCCCTGCCCCACAACTGTCTGTTCTGAGAGCATTGCTGTGTTTTTGTTTTGAAATTTTGCAGTAGAGGTTTCTTAAAGAATTTGAGTTCTGCTTTAACAAAGAGCTGGCACATCTTCAGCTGCAGACCACAAAACAGGACCCAGAGGTGCTTCCTCTTGAGATCAAAGGTTATCTGATAGTAGCCAAAACATCCACAGGCAGCCCAGGTTACATTTTCCAAAGATTTGCTATTTCCATCACGACGACAGCAGGTAGCAACAAAGGCAGCTTGGCTTTGTTTCCTCTGCAGGTTTGAAGTCCTTTTGTTTGACCAGATGGCATACAGCAGCTTCTTCCATCCTTAGGGTTGCATCCTCTTTTTCTTTTTTGTTTTCTGCCAGTTCTTTTCACTCTTTGAGTACACACGTGCAATGCAAATAGATTGAGAGCCAGGTTAGGACAGGGAGCTGGTAAGGCAACAGGGCAACACGCTGTCTCAGTGCTGTTAGTTCACACTGCAGCATTAGCAGTGAGTTCTGGTCATTCCCAGCAAGTGTCATTGGTACCTTTATCAAATCTTGATGTTATCATGCATATCTTATGGGTTTGAGAGCTTTACAGTATTTTCAAAGTCCATAAATGACAGAATCCAGTATAAAAAAAGGTCAATATATTACTGTTGAAGGGTTGTTTTCTTCCTTTTTTTATACAAAAATTAAAAAGATCAAAATATATCACATTATTTACACACTGTGCTTCATGCTTAGAGATCACTGCAAAAGAACACACAGACAAACATTTTAATCAAAGAGAAATGCTCCATTACTAATCTTGTTAATATCAAGATTGATAGTCTGATTTCTTATCATATTAACAGTATGTCCAAGTGATTTGGTACCGAATTAAAAACTTAAACGCTAAAGGCATGCTTATATCCTAACTGAGGGTTTGCAACCAGTTAGTAACGTGCTTGCTATTAATTGGTGGCTTTTTCAGCCTTAGCAAGGTTTTGGCATGATGCTCCCAGCAGCTGTACAGAAAGCAGTGCGTGCTGTAGGGAGCAGGGCATGGAGGCAGGCAGGGCACTGCTCTCACAAGGCACAGCACTGCTGGGCAGGCACACAGCCCACTGCTGGAGCACAGCACCTAACAGCTCCTCTGGGCCCATGCAAGAAGGTATTTTTGCATTATTCTCACTGTACCTTGTGCCAACATCCTGCTACTGGCAGGCCGTCTGGTCCCTGCAAAACAGAATAAATGGATCTCATTTCTGTTGATGGTAGTTTAAGTGTCAGAAACAAAAACCCAAAGCTCAGTCCTTAAACAATAAAAGCGTTAGCAGTGCGGTAAGAGACAATGACCGTGCACAACCAAGTTACTGTACATGAACAACAGGAAATACACAGGCAATGTGATCTGTGCATCAAGCACAACACTAAATCAAATACGCTCCAGGATAAAAAAAAAATAAAAGTTGACACTTCCTTGCAACAAAAGTGAACACACATAAAAACTGGGAACCTCAATTAATTCAGAATCTGCTTTAAAAAAGTAGTGTTTCTGTGATCAGACCTATTTGTGGAAATGTATCTTTTGTTCATATGTGCTTCTTGAGTTGGGGTTAATATATTTTTTCATGATATTCTCACTGTGTTCAATTTGATCCTGCAGTACTTAGTTTCTTTAAGAAATCTCGAGTTGCTGAACTGACTGAAATTGGATAGGCTGTGGGCTGTGTAAAGGGAGTGAAAAGACTTGTCTTCTTCTGATGGAGATGCATGAAGTATACAGAAATGAGAAAGCTGAAAGAGCTTACTTACCAGGAGGAAAACACTGACAAGGAAGGAGCCCTCAGAAGAGGAATGGACTTTTTATGACCAACTTTTCAAGCTACGTTAGCAGAAATAGCTTCAGCTATTTCAGCCTTTTCTGATGCTGGATTTTTTAAGGCTCTTGGATCTCTGATTGCATGAATTGCTGCATGTAGAGCTACAGAGAGCACACATGCACCGACCCTTCCCTCAGAACCATTTCCAACTTAACTAGGGGTTGGAAGCCACAAAGATGTTTGCAGTGGACAGAACTGCTAGTGCAAATAGAGGTCAAAATGCATTTTTACATTTTTTACTGTATATGTCAGTCATCACATTTTTTGTATTCTGTATTGATTTTATATGTAAAATAGCCTATGCCCAATAAAAGAAATGCAGTGATGTAAGGTTACCCTTTCCAGCTACTCCTAGTGTGACAGGTCCAGTTATTTTCAGACTTTCCTATAACATTACGGTAGTTGGAAGCACACACAGTTTTCTGCTGACACCAAGCCAGATTTTGGTCCGTAACATTTACTGGTGTGGTCAGGGGGTGAAGGGTAATAGGGACAACATGCAGAGCGGTTCTGGCTCCTGGACACATCCTGACCTGGTGTGTCAGAGCACATCCCAACGCACCAATGGTCACAGGGCTGATTTCCCCAGGCTTTTTTTTTTTTTTTTTTTTTTCCCTTCTGCACACTCAAAATACTCATTTTGGCCATCATCAAGCTCCACATGTTTCTGCCATGCTTCACTTGAATGACTGCAGAACAACTGGTCAGCTCACAACGTGCTTCACAAGCCTCAGCTGAGGCTCACACCCCAGAACTGAACAGAATCACCAAGAACCCAGTAGTCCCCCACGACTACAATGGGGGAAGAAGGAGGTCAACCTCCCAAGGCGACATGCAACAGCTAATGACAACTAATGACAATTAACCCGTCACACACAGGCAGGAAAAAGTGCATCTGCTGCATTAACTGTAGGAGAAATCCCCTTCTGCCCCTACAGTGCCTGTGATATAGCTTGACTTTGTGTTTTTCTGTACAGTTAGGATGGGACAAGCTGAGCAAATATAACATCTCTGGGGAGTAAATACGAAGAGCTGAAGCAGGCCTGCTGCTAATAATTGGTTTCTTTGACACATATGAAAGCAATTTAACTTTTTGAAAGAGAGCTTACTGCCCTTTTGTTTCTCTGAAGACAACTGCAAATCATCTAACATGCAGCATTTTCTATAGTTAAAAAAATGAAAATAAAACAATGACCTCTTTTAGCTAGTCAAGCAAAACCCTCTGGATCAGTGAGCAGAGCTCAAACCTCTCTGCGTAATCAGAGGATTTCAACCTGAGCTCCACAGTGCAGAGCTGACGCAGCAAATGCCCTTTCAATGCCCAAAGGGCCCACAACCTCCAGTCACAGCACCCTGGGCTGTTCAGTGGGGCAGCTCAGCACCCAGCTGGTGCACAAGGGGAACCAAACTGGGCCACAGGTACCCAGAGAAACGAGAACTGATTTTTAGGATCTACTGCTGAAAAGAGTCAAACAGCCCCCTTTGTGATCTCCCGTGGCCTACCCTCCTTATTTAAAGGCAGTAGGAAGAAGGCACAACCCGATGGTGTCCTTCTCTGAGTGTCAAAGTGAAGCATCTTGTTCCAGCTCTGCTGTTTTGCATTCCTTCTCTCCTTGGTGGGATTCGTGCCTTAGGAAGGCGCTTGGCCACAGCAGGACACACACAAGCCATGCAAGAAAGGGAAGAGCAGGTACTGTACCAGCGGGCAGGGCACGCTCACCCCATCCAGGCCTGGCAAACCTGGATCCCCATTGCTGCCTGTAATACTACGATCTCCCTGTTTAAGAAAAAATAACTGCTTGTTGAGAATGATAAAGGACATGGGAGTTACTTGAACAGACATCAGTGCCTGAGCAGAAAGGAGAAAGAATAGGCTCAGAACTTTGCGCATCCATTTGTGATGACACAGCAAATCAACAGAGTTGTTTTATGGTGGGGAGTTCACAGACACACAGAGACTGTCATCTGGGAAATATCTTCTGTACTCAAAGCAGAGATTCTCATTTGAAAAAGATGAGGGTTAAATCATCCAGCATGTTGAGAGAGGAAAGGTGATCCATCAAAAACAAAATATTTGTAGCTCACATTCAATCTCCAAGCAAAATAAAGCAATGAACGAAGGACATTTTTGCTGGTATGGTGGAGTTCCACGACAGCTTTGATTGCTGTAGCTGTGCTGGCGAGGTGAGAAAGCCACACATTTGGACAAGAGACGTGTTTTTGGAAAGTTAAAGCAGATAGCTGGCACTACTAGTTAAGTGCAGCTGAACTATGATGTAATAGTCACATTTGGGCAGTTTCAATAGTTGACACAAATTATTCTTTCATCCTAAAACCGCACAGCATTTTAAGGAATGGCTATCTCTGTTTCAGTCATTAAACGAACAGCAGTAAGTAAAAGGAAGTACATTTTACCAGGCCAAATAACCAGAATGATTTTTTTTCTGAGTCATATAAAAGGTTTGAAACATCCTGGAGAATCCCACGTTCCTCAGACCTGAACATCAAGGCAGGTTTTCTGGAAAGGCTGTTTGTGTACATGCAGCACAACGGTGGCCCAGGATGTGTCTGAGAAAGGACAGATCTGAGCTGCTAGCTGCTATCTCAGCCTGAGAAACACAGGAGGTCTCTGATCCCAGAGGCACTTTTTGGCAGCCTTGGGGCTCATACATCACACAGCCTTGGCTGTATTAACATGCTATCAACACCAACCTACTTCCCCATGCGGGAGAGTCAGCATGGTCCCTGCTCAGTTTGGGGAGATGATGGGATAAAGAGCTGACCTGGCTTTCAGACTGCCTCCCATCCGCTGCACAGAGTTACTCCCCAATTGCAAATGTACTCAAAATCTAGGCAGGCAGCTTCACCAGGGCACGCTATCTCCTGAAGAGCGTTACTGAAGCCCATTGTTCCTGACTGCAATAAGAAGATCCCTACACAAAGATTCTTTATTTTTACTGCTGTGGCTTGTTCCCATCTGGCCAGTGAGGAGCCCTTAAAGCGAGCACTGAACTTCCAGCAGTGCAGATAAAACAAACCATTAAGAAAAGTGAGAAAACAATAACCATCTGCTCTGATTTACTGCAAACTAAAGATCTACCAAATCCTCCCTCCCTTCCCCGGGCTGCAAAGCTGCATCGCCTTTCAGTCCTTGCAACACACACTTCAGATGTGCAAAGCAGAAGACGTACCACAGGGCAGGGTTGGTCCAGTCCGGGAGGGCCAGGTTCTCCCTTCTGGCCTTTGGCTCCTTTTCTCCCTGGTATCCCTCGCTCGCCCTGTTGTTGCAAAAGGAAAATAGTATCAGGAACAGAGGGGTGGCTGGCAGGGGAAACACACCTTGTTTTTACTTTGCACAGTTACTGCAGCATCCCACATGGCAGCCAGAGTAGGGATGTTTGCACCGGTACAACCTTAATCGGGCAATTAAATGACTGAAAGTCTTCAGTTAAAGCAGGATAGCAATGATTTAATAGGGTGGCTAAGTCACCAGTTACTGCTAGAGACAAGGTTGGTATCTGGCAGCAAGAGTGTTGGGCAGCCCCTGCCAGCACTGCTGGAGCACCAGCTCCCAGCACGGCACCAGCCACCAGCCAGACACCCTTTTATTTAAGGATCCCTGTAACAAAACCTGACTGGGATCCAGTTTCAAGGTCTATAAATCAAAACTAGCAATTCTTCCCAACCTGGAGCTGCCAGGCTGCTCCAGCTCCCTCCAACGTCTGCAGGCTGCCAAGGAGGGAGAAGCTTGCAGAAAGCCCTTCCAAGCCAGCAGGCATTCATAGAACGTCCATACAAATACTGTGCCACAGTAAAGGCCTTACAGCAGTGAACCACAAAACACTGGAGCTGGAGGAAACCCACGCTGCAAGACATGAGAGGAGCAGCCAGTCCTGCCCCAGCTTGCTTGTCCCCACCAGCACCCTTACAGCCATAACCCACTCACCTTCTCCCCTCTTTCACTCTTCTCTCCCTTTTCTCCTCTGAGACCTGGGAAACCCTGTTATGGATTTTTTTTTTATGGGAAAAGAAAAAGGGGTGTAAGCTTATTTTGTGCACATCCCAGTAGTTCAAATCAACAGAAGCAACCAGCAAAGAATATGGCATTTTCTTCCTTTTTTGTCTTTGTATCTCATAAATTTACTGGGAAAGCTAGTGCTTTAACTATCCTGCTAATATTTCATCTGTAAGAGATTTCGGTTTTCCTGAATCTGATACAAGTATTCTCAACTGGGAGAGAAAGCCCCCACAGCACCTTCAGCTAAGCAGTGGTACCCTGCGTGCTACGGTACTGCTGTGCAGTGGGAGCAGCCATCCAAAAGCTGCTGTAAGTTAAGCCTTTTCCTACTGACATCGTTCCATGGATGCCCTAAGCAAGGGAGAACAGTCTATGCAGTGTTAGTTATGTATATTTGTGAGAACAGCAAGCAATCTTGATGGCCTCTACATGTGTGTGATTCACATTTCGACACGTCACAATTAACTTTCTCCATACTCACGTCTAATCCCGGCTCTCCTGGCTTTCCCTGCAGTTGAAAAACAAAAACAAGACGCGTTGGACTGATTTCAGTGCAGCAGACAAAGATTCCCATTTGGTGACAAACTAAGTTTGGTGGAGATGGTGAGGGCTGCACACCTGTCTGTGCACTCAGCATTGCCCATCTGGGCACGATGTGCTCCCTGGTTGTTCAGGGAGCAACCACTACACCCAACTGCTGTCATCAAATGCCGACAGATGCTAGAAAACAGCAACTCATTGGAGCTGAAGTTCTGGAGACAAATGTTGGTAAAATGAGCAATTTAGACTAGGAAGAAGCTTTGGCCATCAATAACCTAGCTTCTATGGAGCTCCAGCAGGGAGAAGGAGATCTAACGCAGGCCTACACCAATGATTACCTTTTCTCCTTTGGTACCAGGTAAGCCAATGAGCCCTGGAGCACCAGGGAGACCCTTGAAGACAGTCAAAAGAAAGAAAAGAAAGCATTAGGAAAGTTACTGTAAGTCTGGGTTCTGCCAACAGTCAGAAACGAGATGTGGGGAACAACTCACAGCTGGGCCCGCGTCGCCGTGCTCCCCCTTCTCACCGCTGTCACCTTTTTCTCCCTTTGCACCATCCAAGCCCTGCAGAAATGAAACACTGGCATCAGCCAAGCAGCACGTGGGCCTTGGGAACAGTCTCAGGTGGGAAGTTGGTGCAAAAAAGGGGGATTGTGCTCTCAGGCAGAGCAGTGCGAGCATAAAACCCACTGCAGCAACTCCAAACTCAGATGGGACAAGGACACCTCCCAGCAGCTCACACCCTTGCTGCTGTTAATGCTTTCCTCTTGACCAGACCATACAAGAAATAGTTGAAAATAAAGGTTTCAGTATGTGGGTTTGGAAACCCAGACTTCCATGTGCTGCAGGCTGACAAGACTCCATAGTGAATTTAAGATCATAAAATGTATTTGGAAGGAAGAATGGCTTATTTTCAAAAACACCAACTGCTGAACAACACAATCAAGGGATGTGTTGTCACAAACAGTGACAAAAAATCAGTCCCCAGAGCTGACAGTCCTTTGTGGTCCTGCAAATAATGCAGTGGCAGCCTGGAAACAGTGGGTGACATTTGATTTATTGACTTACTTTAGGCCCCTGGATTCCTGGAGGACCCTACAGGAAAGACAATGGTGCATTATAAAAGCAGAATTTAAAAACAAACCCCTACGTCTGCTTCCCAAACCGCTTCTTGCTAAAGTTACGGGCTGACAATGGCTAAATATTTCTTTTTTCAAGACAGGTGGTAGTTTATTTGGTTCTCCTACGTCAAATCAGTGGGAAGGAACTGTAAAAGGCTGCGTTGCGTAACACGCAACAATAAAATGCTGAAGAGTCAGCTCTGGAGGGAGAGCTGTGCAGCAGTGCAGAAACGCTGTGTGGTTGTGAAGCATTACCCTGCGTGGTCTCCCCGACGTGCCCATGGACCAGTGAAGGTCTCCCAGCTTTCCTGACACCCTTGGCAGCTCTTTGGCATTTTGGAACACTGTAGGTACCAAACACCTCAGAAACCTGCACTGAAAATGACCACGTGTATATTCACATCACTGCCCACATCCTCTCCCACTGCAATCAATGGCAAAAAAGAAAACCAAAAAAAACTAATCTGGGCAAATCTATGGGAATATCAACACCACAGTGCTGGGGAACACAAATTGACAGCAGCCCAGATTAAACAGAACAAAACACCCTCTTTCCTTTCGCTAATTGCATGGTATAACTCTGCAGCCCTGTTCTATTGCGCATGCCAGTGTCCCACCATCCTACCATGGGGCCGGGCAATCCGGGCGGTCCTGGCTCTGGGATGATCTGCATGAAGGAATTAAATGGCACATTAATGGGGCTGGGAACGGGGACACAGAGAAAGCAGGCAGCTCAGGAAAGAAAACCTCACACAGCCCAGGACTGCTGTAGCCTGTCCTCTAATTTCATAGAGGTAATCCGGGTAGCTGCTAACCAAAGAGGTGCCCATAGAATTTGTAGGTAAATGGATCTCAGTAAGCACACAAATCAGGCTGGCCTCAGAAATGAGAGGTGTAGGCCACGCTACTCAGTACATCTGCCAGTTGCAAAATAGATACAATGGAAAATGAGGTCATTTTCCATATGGACACAAAGAAACCAGCCTTTTTGTTTAGAAAAAAAATCAGAATTAGAGCTCATATGTCATTAATAAACACCTAAAAAAAAGTTTATGAATTTTGATACTAAGCACAAGGCGTGAAAAAAGAAAAAAACAGTGCAGAAGCCCATATAAAACAGCACAAAGCACAGTATGTTTTTAGAGCAAAACAAAATATCTCAATTACCAAAGCAAAGTCTGAAGTATCTATACAGTGCCTGGTCATTTCCCTCATCCTCCCTAATACACAAACCCCATTTAGAGGCATCCCGAAGTTCTCATGGAGAAGGGCAGTTCTGTGCTCTGCACTGATGCACACACCAACTTCCCCTGCCCCTGCCTCATGGAAGAGGCTGTGTGGTGTCAGTGCCTTACGTGGTTGTTCTGCAAACACGGTGATCCAGTGTCTCCTTTGTCTCCTTTTGGCCCATCTGCTCCCTAAAAGATACGGAGTTTGCACTGAAGTGTCGCATCTCCCAAAAAGAACAAGAGAAAAAATGCATTTGTGTTCCCCTGAACGCCTTGCTATCCTCCCTTGCTCCAAACAGCAAAGCTATTTGAGAAAAGGAGGTTTTCCCCAGGCTGAAGCGCACATTTCATTTATTCTGAAATAAGCCACTATCAGCATTATTAGGAACACTCCAAGTCCCCACTTCCTCCAGCAGAAGCAGTGTAGCACAAACAGGCCACTGCCCAGCTCAACAAAACCCAACCACACACCAAGACTTGCAGAAATCAATGCACTGCAGCACACAGACATACCGGTGGACCTGATAAGCCCATTTCTCCCGTCTCTCCTTTCGGTCCTGTGATCCCTGCACTGCCTTGGTCACCCTTAGCTCCTTTGGGACCCTAGAATTTTACAGAAAACAGATATGGGTGTTGAAGAGAACCAACCAAAACAACAACCAACCAATTTCTGCCTTTCTGCTGTTTTGCTTTTTTTCCCCCCCCTCACTGCAGCGCCAACTTGTGAAAATATATTTTAATGTTAAAACTCACACATACTGATTTTGCAGACACAGCAGAATTTCGCTTGGCCAGAGCAAAGAATACAGCAATTAATTTTTGGAAGGTTTACGTCAGAATTTGAGTCTGTCTCACAAACAACTTGTAAAAGTAGCCCATTTAACTCAGCAGATGTGGACAAGAGCAGCATCTGCGTGCTCAGAGCTGAGTGTTTAACTCAGGGAGGTGCAGCATCATAGGCCAGAGGGCTTTAGGGGCAGGCTGATGTTGGCTTTCACAGGGGCAGCCACCACAGACACACAGGTCACTTCTCTCTAACTCAGCTCCTGCACCATTCCACCCAGTCCAACCATGCTGTGTACCTTTTCTCCATCCAGTCCAGGTGGACCTGGCAGGCCCAGCTCCCCCTGAAGCAACACAAAGAAAGCAGAGCCAACAGTAAATTAAATAATCCCAGGAAGACATTTTGCGAGGAAAGAAGTTACTCATTTATGGTGGCTATAGGTTGAGCATTGGAGTATGAGGAGCAGCGGTGAGGATGACACCCAGATTTGATGGGCTTCATCGGCCCAGCACAACCTGGGCAGCACCAAAATCCTGCCCTGTCCCGTGTGCTGACACACACTGGCAAACAAATTAAGCTTTCTTTTGAAGAAAACCATAGCTGACAGGAAGTTATTGGTGATCAGTCATGAACAAGGGCAGTGGCGGTGCTGCAGAGGCACAGTGACAGGGTGCAGGCACTGCCCCAGCATGTTGGTGAGGGCAGGAGGTGGGCTCATACTGCAACCTATGACACTCCCAAACCCAACTCAGGCATTTTCCCCCATTTTGTTCTCCCTCCTGCCTCATGCAAAGTACCAGACCAACCAGGATTTCAGCCCTTGGGTGTAGGGCAGAGAGTGGATTCCTTCCTGAGACACCTGCCTCTGTAGGAGGCCAAGGACCAAGGAAAGGAGAGCCCCTCTTGGCTGCTGTATGAAAACTTGCTTCTTCAGCTAGAGGAAGAATTAAGGACCATTTCCTCCACCAAACAAAGCCCCAAGGCCTGTCTTATTTTAGCAGACATTTGCCCAGTCTCATTACATGACAGCCACTAATAAACACCCCGCTCTGTCAGCGGCACAGCCTGCACAGTGGTGGTCAGCCTTACCTTGGGGCCTGGAGCGCCCTGCGGGCCCGGTGGCCCTGGGGGACCTGGTGAGCCCTAAAAAACAGCCAACAGAAGAGGCATGAGCACAACTGCTTCGCCTTCCACAGAGCACACGGTGTGCTCAGTGCCAGCACAAACACACCCGTGAGCTCAGCCCCTGGCACTGAGGGTGTTGGTGCAAGGGGAACACACGCCCCAAGCCATGCAGCAGGCAATACATTTGATTGTATTGTTTGCATTCTGCTGGGTACAGAGAGCACAGAACACCTCACATTGTGATTTGCAAGTCATCTCAGACATCAAATTCACTGTCTCCCAGCTGAAAAACAACCCCATATCACACCTTTTGTCCTTCAAACATTATCACATTAATCACACCGGAAGCTGCGTAAAGCAATCACTTCTCCAAGCTCTGTTCCCACATATGGTAAGCGTGCAAACAGACAACAAGCAGGAGAATGCCTATGGCTAGCAGTGTGGTGTGCTTTCAGCCATGTCCACATGCACACACAGGGACATCCTGCAGATGGACTCTGCTGCATTTGCTGGGGCCGCCCCGAGGAGCTCCATCCACAGTCTCCACTCACGGAGCTGCATGCCGTGCTCCTGTCAGAGCAACCCGTGCAGACATCTGGCAAACGGTAATTACCACCACTTTGTGTATCCCTGCAGCCTGTTATAAAACAATTAGGATGGTTCTCAGATGTGTCTGTAATTATTTATTCTGTTCGCCTTCTTTTATCCTAACACAAACAGCAGGGAGAGGCCTGGCAGCACTGGGGCAGGTTAGCACCCAGGCACTGCACCCCATCCTCCCACTGCCTTCAAGGACAGCCAAACAAGAGACAATTTGCAGTGAAAGTCACACACAGGGTGGAATAAACCCTGCCCTCTGGGCTGGCTCTGTGCTAAGACCTCAGGAAGGAGAAGTAGCATAGGACTTCAGCCCCTCCCTGCCACCCACAGGAACCAGCTCACCTTGAGTGCATCCAGGATGCGGCCATCGTAGTCGATCACCACCGTGTCACCCTGCTCCCCTTTCAGGCCAGGGGGACCCTGCAACCGAGGACAAACCTGTTTAGTTTTTGCAGCACCTGAGAAGCAGGCTGTGTGACAGCAGGGACCCAGCAGCCCAGTGTCTGGGGGGCGATTACCATTGTAATGAGTTCCTAGATAGACAGCTGTCATCCATCCAAACCTCAAAAACCTACAAATGTACGTAACTGAGGGGTGCATCAAAATCATTACTGGAGTAACCCTATCCACAGCTTCTTACAACAAAGAAAAAATGATGACAGAATGGTCATGCTGATAAGAAAAATCAGACTGTACTGCATTTCCCAGTGCTGTCTCCACGGGCAGCATTTGGTGTTGTTTTAATATGCACCATCTGTATTTCCTTACATGGAACTGATCCTTACACTATTTGACAACACGCTAAACAGGAGGAGGTGGTGCAGGGCAGCTCAGGGCACAGTGAACACACCGAACACTAAAAGGAAAATCCTGAACATCCATACCCGGGGTCCGATGGAGCCGACTCCTCCCTTCTCACCAGGCTCACCCTGAAAATGCAGATCGTATTTTTTATTTCAGAAACACCAAGGAGAATATGGAATGTTCATCCTATAACTAGCTAAATGGTATGAGATGCCAGCACGCATTTTAGATTCAAGGCAAAGCATGGTGCCAACAAGGACCCAGCAAAATGAAACCCCTCAAAAAACGCAACAAAACAAACAAAAAGCCCAACAGATCTGACTTCAGAGCAAATGCATTTTGCACAAAGTGATGCTGGAGGAGCTAGCTGGCAGCAGGAAGACATCCATCTCATGGCACAAGTGCTGCCTGCTTCTCTCCATGGCACAAGCTCTGGCTCCTTGTGCTGCAGCTTCTCTGCTTGCTCTGGGCTGAATATTGCATGTGGAAAGTGTGGAAAGTCTCAGCCAACACGTTTAAACCATTTCTGAGGGCAACTTAAAGGAAGTGCCAACTGTGCCAATTATTTTTTATTATTAAACTGTGAGTTTTGAATGGCTTTAATATTCCCACCGCAGTGACCTGGAGTTCAGCTCAGGATTCAGAACTGCCCCTTCTGCCATACCCGTGGGAAGTCTATTCATGAGTCATATTAAAGCCCTTGACATAGTAACAAATAATAAATATACAAACACAAGAAGTCTTCATAGGAACTCAGCAGACCCTGGGCAGAACAAACAAGCATTGCCACCATATTTTTAAAACAAAGAACATGAGAGGGTCATCCAAGCCCACGCTTCTGCATCCTATACAGCCTAGCAAGGAGCTATGGCTGCCCAATACAGAAAGACCAGGGATAGATCAGACTAAATAAGAAGCAGCTGAGGAGGGAACAGCGGCTCATGAATGCTGTCCACGTTATATCATCACCACTTAACACATCAAGACTGTCTTACTACATCTCTTTGCAGTTCTGAGGATAAGTAGAACAGTAAGGCACGTAAGTGCTCTCTACTTTGAAGCGATACCACAACAATCAATGCATGAAGGTCAAACGTGATCAGAGATTTAGCTATCTGGGGAAAAAAGAGGCAATTCAACGAAAAACATTAAAGGAGATGATTTTTGGAAATTCTTACATCCATCTCCAGCTTTCATTAAACTGCTAGAAAAAGGTAAAATACTTCTCAAAATCTCCTGTTTGTTTCATTTTTGGCACTTTATGAGACTTTCAGGCAGTAAAGGTTTATGATACCAACTCAGCCAAAATGCAGTGGAGCCCAGTGCCTCCCCAGCAGGCTGGCACTCACCTTGGGTCCTGGTGCGCCGTCCGTGCCATTCTCTCCCTTCAGACCTGTGCTTCCTTTTTCTCCCTGAAAGCAACATGATTTAGATGAATGCTATATGGTTAGGATGCAGAATAGATTTTTCCAGGTTGTAATTTTCTTGCTTTATTGTTACTTTTATGAGCACAAGTGAAGAAAGCTCTGTTTTTAGCCTAAAATGTATCACACTGCCTACGTGCAAAATGGGGAACATTCAAGATTAAGGGGAGCTTTACAGGCTTAGCAGTTTGGCCGTGGGTTGTGTGTTCATCTGCAATGTTGGCTCTACAACCACAGTCCAAAGGCTCCCAACTGAGAGCCCATTGGGTACAATGCCCCATCCCAAATCCCAGGCCATTACCAGCAATGCTATTTGAAGTATTTCTGCACATGAAGGCTCTCCATGGCAATTCTCTGCAACAGCCAACAAGTTGTAAACTCAAGGCTTTCTGGGCAGGGTGACCAAGGCAGAGGGATGAGTTACACATCTTCCTCTGTTTTTTTGTTCTTTTCCCATATTCAGGCAGAATTTTATTTCTGAGCACATCCCAACAACGCCGCATTGCCAACAAGCAAGCCAGAGAGCAACAGATGCTGCCAAGCACACACATTAGATAGACACAGAGCAGACACACACCTTAGAGCCCGAAAGTCCTGGTTCCCCTGGGATGCCATCATCACCCTGACGAAACAAAACATAGCAAGTGAAACACAAAGAGCCTGTACACATGTGCCATCTGGGTTCAACTCTTCATTCATCCTCATTGACCTGAGCACAGATTTGAGCCTCACTCGGGTTTGCAGGAAGTCAGGAGAAACCTGCAGCATGGTCTTCTGCTCCCATCCTGCTCTGTGTCGGCCTCCTCTGCTCCCAGGTATGGGGCATGGCCACAGAGTTATATATCTGACCCACAAAGGGTATTGGGGAGCCTTGTTAATTTCCTACAGGCCTCCTGCAAACTACTGCTCATCCTCATGGTCTTCATTGTGACCACCAGCACACCAGGAGGAGATTTTCTGGGGCTCATGTGTCATGCTTTGTTCTTCTCCTGAAGTAATACTGCCTTGTAGGTGCTTAAGAGGTTAATTTTGCTGGGAAACCAAAGCTTTACACAAATTGTCATCTGAAAAATGCACATGGCCATGTCTGTTTTGGGGCAAAACAATGAGAGAGAACGGCTGGGCCCTGTCAGCACTTTGGTTTTGGATGAAGGCAGTGATTTATTCACTGCTTGATAAGGCCAACAGCAGAAAACTTGGACACGTGCATCTCCCAGTCTTTGACACCCAACCCAAACAGAGCATCTGTCCTTCTGAGTGTGGGAAATTCCTCTCCTGCCCCTGAGAATTGACCACACTGAGACTGTGTGTGGCCATGCCTTTCCCTGGGCTCTCCCAGGAAACTGAGCCCACCACAGGGCCTTTTGGGAGATAACATCCTCCAAAAGCTTCTCAGTCAAGCTCGAATTATTTGAGCAAAAGGACTCAGACCTACTGCTTTGTTTTGGCATTCAGTATTTCATTCTTTTTGTCTACAGGGCAGATGTGATTGCAGCTTCTGGCCTGTTTGCTGTAATGAAAGCCATGCTTTTACATGGCAGCATCTGCACTTTGGGGTTGTGCGGTCGCAGCTCTTCATGGCGCGCACTGGAGGGACGCTGGGGAACATCACTGGGGTGCTACATGCAGCCAGGACTGCAGCTTCTCCATCACCCTCTGGAAGCAGTTTCCCTAGTCTAGCACTCAGCAAAGTAAAGCAAAATCACTGTTTTACCTTCTTTCCTTGCATGCCAGGCTCGCCCTTCAAAAGCAATAAACACAGAGGAGAAAGATTAAGGAAAAAGAAAATAAGGCCCATTGCACCAATACTCAAAATCCATTGTCAAGTTCAAATAATTTGTTGCTTGTGTTGGTCAACTCTATCCCCCCAAAATGGAAGAAAGCACGTTCCTACAGCACGCTGACTCTAACACCCACAGCTCCTACCCCACCCCATTTCAAGGTTTTACCAGGGGCTGGGCTGTGCTTTTTGTGTCGGTTGCACACTCAGACAACTTCAAGCCAATGGTTAATTCAGTAGTGCAGAAATTCAGTATCTGATCAGTATGGATGAGAACAATTCCACTGTGAAACATGTATGTTCATTTCTACTCCTACAGAAATATGTCAAGAATTCTTGTTAAAATGCTTATCACTCACCTTTGGCCCCGGGGGTCCCCTGGCACCCTATGGGATGAAAAATCAGTTTGTTATACTTATTTGACAATAGAGCAGAACAGAATACACACACGTCCAGGAATATTTTCATCCCCATGAAAAAAATGATGCAGATGCCAGCTTCTCATCCTCCCTTATAAATAGAACCACGCTCCCAACAACAACTAGTAAATGGATATACAGATATATTTTTACTTGTGCATTGTATGCATTATAATTTTTGGCATCAATATGCAAAGACATGAAAGGAACCAGTGCAGAGCAAGGGATGACCTGGGCAGTGCAATAGAAACACCTTTGTGCAATACTAACCACAAAGCCGTCGTCCCCTGGCTCGCCTTTAAGACCCTACAAAAAAAACAGAAACAAAAGAAACAACACCTGGAAGTATCTATCATTCATTCCTCATTCTCAACACTCAGTGATCATCATGCCATCCAACAGCATTGTGTTTCAGCTCATTTCTTTATTAAATGTATTGCCAGTGATCTGGAGAATTGCAACAGGTCTTCTGATGCCTACAAATCACTGAGGAGATCCCCTTTGGGCTCTCTGCATTACAGCTGGTGGCCACAAACACATGCTCTGGCTCCAGCTCTTTGCTCCAGAGCTGAAGATGGAAACCTCCCTCTGTTTTCTCACCCTGAGACCCAAAGCTCTGCAATGCAAGTGGCCACCAGCACTGGGGACACAGCATTTGGGATGGGGAAGGGGAAGCCCTTAATTCTCCGCTCCCTCGCTGGGCTGGGGACCACACAGTATGTGCCCACTGCACATTTCTGGTCCTTACAGGGGGGCCTTGAGGTCCTCTTGGGCCATCTTTTCCTGTGTCACCAGGAGGCCCCCGGGCACCTGGGGGTCCTGGTGGACCAGGGGGGCCAGTGGCTCCATCTCGACCTTGATCACCCTGGAAGAAGTTCACACAGACGTGGTGAGATGAAGCAGCGTGAGCAAGCACAGCAGCTAGGTATTGGCTACAGGGTGCCCACAGCACATGCATTGCATCCCCAGGCCATGGACAACTTGATCTCTGCCATGTTAGAATTAGGGTAGTATGGTTGGGTTGTGGTTGGACTCGATGATCTTTGAGGTTTTTTCCAATCTGAGCGATTCTATGATCCCAGGGGGGAGTTAATTGCAGCAGCCAATTGGGAAGGCTGGGAGCAAGCTCAGAGCTGCTCCAAGACCTTTGAGTCTAGTTCCTCAAATGAGATTTTGCTCAATGCCTTCCGTCACGGTTTCATCTCATTAAGCCTTTCCCCAGTGACCATCTGCATAGAATCCACCAATTCAACATACCCAGAAATAAATGAAACCCAACAACATGCTGGCATAAAGCATGCACACAAGTCCAGACCTTAGCAGACCACACCAGAAAAACCCTCCCCCCTCGCCCCCTCCAAAAAAAAAAAGCAGTTCTTAGTAGTAGACTTTAAATACATCCAAGTCCTATATTAACATCCAGCTCAGCTGACATCCTACTGGGATACAAGGGAAGAAAGCAGCCTCTCCTTGTGATTTCAGAGGTTCAGTGCACGCTGTGCAAGGGGAGCACTGCAAGCCGCCGCTGGCCACCGCGCTTCCAACATGTGGCTACACAATGGAAATCCTCATGGAAAGGCTGCGCCATAAATCTTCTAGCAACATCTGGATGGGTTACCAGCAAGGCACCAACAGGACTGTATTTAATATGTGGTCCACCCTCAAATCACGGACAAGTGTGGGATTTTCAGAAGTCCTTAAGTGACTCAGCAGCACAAACCCCGCTGCCTTTCAACGAGATCTGAGCTCCTAAATCACTCGCATGATTTGTAAAGATCCTATCTGCTAATCCTGAACGCTGCATCCAATTATGACAAGAGTCTCCCACTGAATTTTGCCTAATTAAAAAGTCACGTTTAGAGCACGGGGATTTAGACAATTGCATTTTAGTGCATATTACTTTGATACCAGCATTGTCCATACACCCTACGAACATTTAAGGACTTGCTGCATGATCCCCACTTCCCATGAAGGACCACATGCTGAAACACCATCACTTGTCTGTCTCCTTGCTTTGCCAAAACTCCCCCTGAATTCTGACAGGGCTCACCCCGCTGCTCCTTGCAGGCACCTCTGAGTGCCCCATGGCAGTGACAACTTCAAACAGCACAGTGCACCATCAGCCAGAACGAGGGAACAAAAGCAGCTCAAACAAACACAGCAAACCAGAGGCAGCAGATTTGATACGTCTAACCTTGAGCACGCGGCGGCTAAAGACCAGCTGATCGTTAGCCAGAAATCCGTGATTGAGGCGAGGGAAAACCATCTAGCACAGCACAGGGCAAGGAGGAAGAGGAAAGAACAAGAATTTAGGATGAAAGCACAGCACAGAGCAAGTTTGAAAGGCCATAAAATGCATAACAACTTCTCTTCAATGATTAATTGATGTAAGTCTATCTAGACAACCGGTGGCTTTAACATTCTGGATGCGCTGGAGGCTCAGTAAGTAGACAGCAAAACAAATCTTCTTTCATGAGCTTACTGCACAATAGGACATTCAGGGCTGCTGGGTATGGACGATTCTCTGCTGCAGGACTTTTCTTCAGAATGCAGAGCATTTTCCAGTGAAAACCACATGGGATATATCTCAGCATTTATCCCAAGACCAAATATTATCTTTTTTTTTCAGGCTAAAATGAATACTGATGTATTCACCAGCCTACAAAACACTGATAAATCTCTCAGACTTATGTGATGCAAAAACAATGTATTCAGACCATGTCAGTAGTCATTGCTATTGTCTTTCAGCCTTTCCACTTATCTAGAGAGAAGCAGTAGGTTTCCTTTCTCAGGCTGTTTTGCTTGCTTCCTTTCCACCATCCAGCCCAGGGTCCATCCATCAGATGGACTATGCAAGAGGACTGCATGGACTGCAAGAGGAGAGACCGAAGGATGAAGCAAACAGCACGTTCTCCAGAAAAGAGGATTTCCACTCTGCAGAGAGAGGTTTTAGCTCAGCCCTCACGCAAATACAGCTGTTCTGGAAAGGAATAATATCCAAATCCTAAAGAGTAAAACTGAGATGAAACACATCCACATTAATGGTGTCACAGAGCCCTTGCACATTTTATTTTAAATGATCCCTGCTAAGGATGGTGATTGCCCCTAGGAGCATGAAATGCAGAGATGTCATCTCTGGCTCTGCAAACATCTGGACTACAGAGAGGCGGGTGCCAGGGGAGCACACAGTAAGCCAGAGCTGCCTCACACTGCACTGGCCCTGAGGCATTTGGGCTGCTGGATCTGACCCTGTGCAGCAGTGTGGGCTCAGAGAAAAGAAACCATGAACACTGACATTTGTCAGCTTCAGAGTATGCAATTTAGCTATTTCAACGTCATGATTCAAAATAAGTAAATACTATAAAGCTCTGTACATTTCCACAATGACTGTCATGGTGAGCCCTGAAGGATGCTCCACATGCTGAGCTCTTAACCTGTAGTTTGAGCTCAGCAAGTATCTTTCCTTTTGCATAAAGAGAGAAAAAGCCCCTTTCCGCTTGCTGAGCCCACAGCTGTACAGCTGCATCAGGTTCAACTCTGCAGCAGCTCAGATGCTGATGCTACTGGGACAGTCTCTGGCCATTAAGTAGGTCAGCACCTCACAGGCTATGGAGCATGGGACCTTTTCTCTGCAACAGGAGGCAGAGGCACTGGGAAACAAAGCTAGAGAGCCAGCAGCCTCGGGTCACCTTTGCCAGGCACCTGGACACCGGATAAAACCTGGTGATGCTGCACTGCCATTGTCCCCGAGCTGCCTCATCTCAGCAGTACAACGCTTGAGACATTTTGGCAAAGCTCACAGTCCTTCCTCTTCCTTTACCTGATCTCCTCCAGTGACTCCCACCTGTGGTGCCTGTGCTGCCAGAAGTCATGCTTGGGATTCTTTGAGACACATGAGGACAAGCCTGTGTTGAAGCCCCTCTTCTCCCCTCGAGAGCCAATCTGGCACCACTGCCACATGCACAATCCAGATGTGCAAAGTTCATCAAATCCCATCATTTGTCCAAACATCTGCATCCACGCTCTCCTGTGAGAACAGGATCAACTAAGCCAGAGTAATAAATCCAGAGCGGCCATCCTGCAGGGAGCTGGCCTAGATTATGAAGCTGTTTAGAGGTGTAAGGAAGTGTTTAAGAGAGAAACCAGCATGAATTGCAGGGCACAGAGGTCCCAGCCCTGACAGCATCCTGCTTTGGCTTCTTCTTTCTTTCTCAAAACAGAGAGGACGTGCTCTTACTTTTTCCCCATCAGTGCACCCAGGGGTGTTGCACCAGTGCTGGGTATGTTTGTTCCCTGCCTGGCTGGGCACAGCGCCCTTTGCAGGCCCTCAAATGCTCAGTTTTGCCATTGGGTTTTGCCTGGGACAGCCCAACAGGAACTGCTGTCTCCAAAAGTCACCCCCCAATATCCACACAAGCCACGCTCGTGTGTGTAATAACCACGTATCCATGCTGCTGGCAGGTATTAATTAGGGACAGATACAACAGCAAACACCAACACATCCAGTAGCTGTTCCCCAATATCCTCATCTCACCTTCATTGCATGCAGTCCCTCCAAAACCAACCCAAGTGCTACTTTCTGTTAATCTGTCATTCCTGGTGATAACACGTTTGTGTTCAGTGACACGCACTGTCCCAACCCCACCTCCCATAGACACATTTGTGAGCACACAGTGCTGGATACAGCCAGAGTTATTTATCTTCCCGTTGATGTGATGACTTGCTGTGACATCTTTCAAAATCAGCTCAACAAAGCTACCACCGAAACTTGAGGAAGAAGATAGATTAAACTACGAAATAAAAAATAATCTGGGCCAGATGGTGTCAATAAGTTTCATATCCAATCCAGCCCTGAACGCTGGAGATAGAACAGCAGTGATTTTCACAGCCAGCCACTGGTTGGTAGACCTAATTGGTCCAGCCTTTTTCTTATTCTTGTGTAAAAGGATGTGAATATATACGTATATAACATATATAGATAAAAACAAAATAACGCAAGAGTAAAACAAAATCTGGGCAATGATCAACCACGGAAAAATAAGCACATAATTATTGATAGATTAAAACATTAGACAAACACTGCTGTGGAAGCTCTGCAAGTCCAGCCCAGGCCTCTGCCCACTGCTCTGCAGCAGGACGGGGGCTGCAGGCAGCAGTCAGGCTCCCTGCTTACCTGGCAGCATGAGACCTGGAGCTCCAAAGCCTGGTGAGCACCTCCAGCACCAAGCAAATCACCGACCCCACACGTATCCTCTCCCACAGAAGTAACCTACAGCCCCAGCCAGGCAGCAAAGACTCACAGCCACGTGCAGCTGAATTGTCTCCCAAAGCCTTTTTTGAGGGTGGGGGGGCACTCAGAACAAGGCTGAGACCTTACACTGAGCCCCTCCACAGCTGCGCAGGAATAAATCTGGCTGGATTTCAGGGGCTCTTGAAGCCCAAGGGTGACGTTTCCAGACGCACCCATGGAACTGCTTTGGGAAAAAATGACACCAAAAAGCACATAACAGCCTCGAGCAGAAGAAGGAAAAATGGCCCTGAGACACCTCTGGCCAACATTAACCACTGCCCTCTGCAGAAAACTTCATCTATGTTACAGACAGCACAATTTCCCCCTCACCTTTTAACAGCCTTTATTCTCACCCACAGGCAGCCTAGGCATTGCCTGCACATCACCCTCTTCCAGCAACAGAGGACAAATCTCCACCCCACCCAACGCTGCACCTTGCCTTGGGAGCTGTGACTTCCACCATGTACTGGTTCTTTGATGCCAGCAGACAAGGAGCACAGCTTTGAGAACAGAGCCCTCATGGAATGAAGGAATGAGGGATAGGAAAGCACGTGAAACTCTCGATGGGGCCCATAAACATCTTCAGCTCTTTTCCCCATTCTCATGGTTAGACAGACAGACAAACAGAGCTCCAATGGCAAATCAAAGCATTTCCAGAACTGCCGCGTGGACAGAGTTGCACGCTTTGCACAGTGACCAAACCCAACCAGAGTTGGGAGTGAAACAACACACTGTGTCACTACTCACCCTCGGGCCGATGTCCCCTGCTTCACCCTGTGTGTCAGGAGGAACAGCAAAGGTCAGCTATTAGAGGTCAGATTTCAAACGCGAGGAAGCGAGCGCGGGGTCAGCTGGACGAGGGAACAGCAAGCAGGGGAAGTGGGAATGATCCTATTGCTAAACGTATTCAAAACCAGGGAGAAGTCTTGGAGACAACACAATAGGGAATGGTTCAGCCCTGGCAGGCAATGAAACATATTAAATCTGAAATAACGGACTGTTTCCAACTTTAAGGCTCCCCTAGCAAATGCTTATGTCCTACATATGCACGGACTAACATCACTTTCTGTACAGTAACGACATTCCCTGGCTGCTCGAATTTCACAGGAGGATGTCATGCAAACAGAACAACGGAGCTCACAGCCTTCCAGCTCCTGTGCTGACACAGCTCTATGGCTGAACCAAACCAAGTGGCAATGCCATGCCCGGTGTGCATGGGCAAAGTGAACAAAAAGAATCACAGCAAAACAAGGACATGCAGCGGTTTCTGATTAACTACATGCTAATATAGTCTTTACCTTTTCCCCTTTTGGTCCTGGAGGCCCCTGGAAAAACACGAGAACAACAATTCAGAAACAGTGGAATCAGTGCATACACTCTTACCCCAGCATCAAAACCAAGCTGACTGCTTTTACCAGTTCACAAACCTGAGGCACATAAGTATTACTTTAAGCAGTTTGTTGCTGGACACCAACAGCACACTACTGGGAAGCAGCAGGGGGGCCGTGCCTGCTATGCAGGGGCACAGGAGTGGAGAAGGGCCGGGCAGAGCAGGGCCAGGCAGTGTGACAGCCACTCGGGGGCACATGATGCTGAATAGATACAAGACATTTCTCGAAGTATTAAATCACTTCTAGAAAAACACATGCTCAGCATATCATTACAACAATTATACATCTGTTTGAAATAAACAAGGAGGATGGGCTGCTTTCTTTGGCCTATTTGCTGAAGACATAAGTCATATTCCTTCTAAACAGCTTTCTGTAAGACAGACAGGCAGAGACACACTGCAGCCCCAAAAAGAAGCCGCAGAGCTTTGATGTGCTGCTCTGCATCCTTCAAGCACAAGACCATCCAGCATCATTTGTTCAGCCCAGCACACGGTGTGGCAGCAGTGCGGCACAGAAGGAGGCAGGAGGTCAGCAGTGATGCTGGAGCATCTGTAGCCTCGTGCTGCATCCCTCCTGCTGGTAGCTTGGCTCTGAGCAAACCTGCTGGCCGCTCACTCTTATGGAAGAGATCGTAAGCAGTCTGGTTTGAGTTTGACCATTTCTAAGTTTGCTTTTTCATTCAGGCTCTTCCTGCTGCTCATCCAGAGGTCTCCCTCCACCCCTTCAACCACTCGCATCCCCGTTGGTGAAGGAGCGCAGTGCTGAGGTTTGCACCACTCTTTAAATAATGGTGTTTTGCTAATTCAAAGACAATATTAAAAAAAAAAAGCAAAAGAAACCCGACCACAGCTATGAAAAAACATACAACACACAGCTATAACAAAATATTCCCTAGCTGGCTAGAAATTAGTGCAGTCAAGAAGTTATCCCAGACAAAGACTGAGCGACTTTGGGAAAAAAAAAAAAAAAAAGATCACTTGATGGAGGACCAAAGCTTGAAAAGATTTCAGATGGTGCCCTCTAGTGAACGTGGACCAAAGTGAGATTGGGAAACAAAAACCAGAAGCAGCCATGAGCTCCTGCAGCAGTTTTCCAGTGAAAGGACTCAGCACTGACCAGTGCTCAGCCAACACCACCACAGTGGGTGTGTGACTGTAAAAATTAGCAAGAGAAGCATAGAGCACTGAGTGTCCACAGGGCTTCTGAGAAAAAAAAGAAAGAAAACTCAGGCCCAGGGCTTAAACTTGCATGTGTTACTGATCACAGAGTAATTATTTTAGATGCAATCTGCCCCACAAGCAGTTATACACACAGAAAATATCTCAATTTAGGTTGTATTTGAGATTCTGCCTAGACGTGGCACAGCAGCATGAAGGACGAGATGACACGTTCAGCAGGTGGTGCTACTTACTGGTTTGCCATCCAAACCAAGGGGACCCTGAAAAGGGATGGAAAAGACAAAATGATTAAAGAATAAAATACCCCAACAACTTACAAACATAGCAGTATCAGTCATGCTCTGACAGAGGCTGTACTCGCATACTGTACAATCCTTGGCTATGTTACTTATACACCTTATCCTTCATGCATGCAAGCAAGAAGGTTTCTCAGCAGCTGAGCAAGAGGTGACAACTCGCAGAGCACAAAGAGGTGAGGAAGGAAGCGACAGGGTTAGTGACAGGGGCACATGGCTCTGGCACAGCACTCAGGACTACCTCAGGTTTTTTAGGACTAAGAACTGCTTTGGTTAAACTGATGGGGTCCCAGGAGTGATCCACCACAGGCGTGGAGCTGGATGCGGTGTTCTGCTTTCTCCAAAGGATGTGCTAAAGCTCTGCTGTACTCCGTGGGAAGCACCCATCACCCCCAGACCACAAGGGAAGCCTCATGGATGGGGCCAGGCGTCTCACTGGTGAGGAAGGAAGGGTACATCCATCCCACAGATACCTACGTGCTTGTCCCATCAGCAGCAGCACTCCACCAGAAATACAGCTGTATTTGCAGGACCAAGCTCTGGGCTACCCCAGCTCTCCCTTTCCTAGCACTGCTGCAGGAGCGTGTGGTTGATCAACGTGTGCAGCTATTTGCATTCAACAGTAAGTCCAAGGAGAACTGCATTTTCCTTCTCCTCTACCTGCAGCCTAGGCTCATAAAGCCTCTCCTCACATAGTCACAAAGACAACTCAGCCTGAAAACATTTCCCAAAGAGATAAGACACGATGGCTGCAAGTCCACGAAGTGCTCAGACTCCTGCTTGCACCACAGACCCCCCAGCCCAGGCTGACAAGGGCTCCAGGCAGAGCCAAGGACTGTGCCAGGTGTCCCCACAGCATCCCTGGCTTTGCAGCCTGGAGGACCTACCGAAGCACACGCCCTCTAGATGGTTGCATAACACAGCAGTAAAGAGTCAAAGTTTTCTATTTTAGGGAACTGTTTAGGGTGAACTTTTTCTGAGTTTAGCTTAAATCTATGATGCTGAAATGGAGATTAAAAAAAAAGAAAAAAGAGAGAAGTTTGTAAGAGAAGACTAAAGTCTGCATTAAAAATAATGTGTCCATCTCCCAGCTCCAGCTGTCAGTAAGGAATAAATCAGCCTGCAGCAGCAGAACTGCCATGCTTGGAGTGTTAAACCTCAGGTCTGCGTGGCTCTGTTGGGTGAGAGGCAAACCCAGAGGGCTGGGAGAGCAGTGCCAAGGATATTCACCTGAAAACAACAGGCATCCCTGTACACGTGAGGTTTTGGAAGCTACCAAACCCTGATTAACTGCGTACTGTATGTTATTTATGAGGAACTACCAGTATACAAATGTCAATACACAGAAGTGTTGATGAAAGACATGAGCAAACTTAGCAGTGTCCACTGATACAGGCTTGCGTACCACAGCCAAACTACCCCTTCCCTGACGGACATCACTCTGCACTTTATCTCACCACACTTCTTTACATCAGAGCGATTGGGAAAGGTGTCAGGTCTGCCAAATTTCCCTCCTGAAGCTACAATTGCTGGAGCTGTTTGACCTGAAGCTTCCAATGCAGCTACTGGGAACCTCCAGATGAAAAATGTGGGACCTGAGCAGGGAACTCACAGCACATCCAAGTTCTCCACGAAACAGAAGTCCCACGGATTTAAAAAGTAAAAGAAATTTATAATAGCAATTCATCAGCTTCTAGCTATTCTTGTATCAGTCCACAAAGGGACATCCAGAAGGAAAAACAATAGCCTATTCAAAGAATGTTTGTTTGAGGGAAAGCATTTAATGCTCAAGAGAAACCATATCCGTTGGGCTTTCAAAGGGGCGCTGGGCCAGCCGCTCCGCCGAGCGACAACGCCGTAAGTCAGGCTCATAAATGTTCATCACTTCAGGCTGAGGTCTGATGGGCTGAGCCCAACCTGCCTGGCCAGCAGCCCACGGCAGAAGGCCCCGAGCAGTCATGGAGCTGCTGGGGTAAAGGAAGAGACCACACTGGAGGTGTGGGTGTGTGCGCGCTCCGTGGAGAGCCTGCAACATTCAGAATCGCCCAAGTGTTGAGATCATGATTCTCCCTTCCTTAAATTCTGGTCCATGTCATTTTAATTAAAGATGAAGCAATGTTTAGTTTATTTGATAACTAAGGAACAGAAAAACAACTCCCTTTTCCCCAATCAAAAACCAACTCTAGAGAAGTTTTCATTTTGGAGGGGACAAAAACCACACTTAAACAACCAACAAAGAACCTAAAAGAAAGGCGAGCATTCCGTACACCCCACAACAGAGCCAAAGCAATAGGAAGTTGTAGAGTTGTGCTGCAATTTTTGCCAGGGATAAGTTTCACTCCTGTCCTTGCCCATGCTCTACTACAAGCCTTCTGCTCCTAATCACAAATTGAGAACACTTTACATAATTCAACACTCACAAAGTTAAGAGAGGATGAACCATTTTGTCTAGAACAAGCCTGATGCTTTGAGACTGAGTAGAGAAAAAAAATGTCATCAGCTTTCCTCAAAGTGTGGATCTGACCAAAAGCACCACTGCAGTGACAAAGAGGGACAAAACCCATCAACCCCGAGCAATTTGAGCAAGCCAGCACTGGTGTGGTCCCAGCTGGGCACTGGCACAGCCACTGAGTGAACACTGGAGCCACTGATTGCTGGTAACTAACTCAGATCTCATTTTCCCATCACACACCAGTAAGGACCACCTGCATTCAGCACCAGGTCAGCACAGCTCTGCAGGATGTCATCAACATTTGAAGGGAAAGGAGGAAATGTTCCTGTCAGATTGATAAAGAAAACACATCTGCAACATCTGGCCAGAGCCACGCTGGAGCGCGGGAGGCGAGGAGATGGGTCAGCAGGAGCAGAGGTGAGAGGTGCTGCAGTTGCACTCCCAGACAGTAACACCCATCACACCAAGACATGATTTATGTGCTAGCTGAGAGCACAGACCTGAGCCAGGTGAGATGCTGGGGCACCACTGCAGTTTGCTATTGCTTCACGCACTCTCGCTGTCTGCCTTGATTTGGTCACACACTTCAGCTTTAGTGCTCAGTTGCAGTTTTAAAAACATGATACTTTTTGGTGTTTGTTTCACAGTAGAAACTCACGAGGGTCAAGACACAGCACCAGAATACCACACTTTTGCAGTGACAGCTGATTCACTCAATGCTGAGAGCCACCAAAGGCTTAGGAACAATTAGGAAAACACGTCAAGCTTACGAGCTCTGATCCCAAAGCAAACGCTCTTGGATTAAATAACGAACATTTCCCCTGCACATCCCTTACCCTGCTCAGGGGGAGGCCTGGCTGACCTCCTGCCTTCCTCCTCCATCGCTGATGCTGTTGGGAATGGGTTTGCTTCAGCAGGAATGTTAGGGGCAAAATACTGAGTGAAAACAAAGCCAGAGATTACTAAAAGGCCAACCCTTCCAAGTTGGGAAATCTTCTCTCATGGTTATTTTTAATGTTTCCTGCTCTGCTAAAAATTAGCACAGGGGTCGGAAGGAACCCTGCAGTCAAATTTTCATGGATTCAAAGGACTGCCTTCAATCTCTGTCTCTGTGGTTTAGAAAAATAGTAAAATCTTACATTTGAGAAGGAGAAAAGTGTCAGAACAAAAGGGCACGGCAATATTTTAGCACCATCACCAAAGGCCTGGGATCATTGAGTGCTGCTGAGCCTCTTTCTGCTCCATCCACCACCACCACCACCTCTCCAGGAATCACTGGCCCTTCCAAGCAGCAGCACTTACATGCACATGAGGAGATGGCTGAGTTCCTACAGCCCATGGGAAGGGTTACCTACAACACTGCTGCAGACGATGGCTGAGTCCAGACCCTTAGATCCCTTCTGGCCATTCCTTCTATGAGATCTGTGCATGTGCTAATTAACAACCTTCGCTAATAACGTGCTTCAGATGGAACTACATTCTGCAGCCACAGCTGAAGGCAGCAAATCCCCGGTAGAGGGCTCAGACAGAGGATGCAGAGCAGCAGCCTGATAAGGGCCAGGCGTGTGTTAACAAACCAACCAAAAAAAAATTGTGTTCTATTGGAAAAAAAATTTTTTTTAAAAAAATTCCTCATACTGCTGGGCAGCCTTATGTCCATTCTTTGACAGAAACAAAGCAGAAACGAGCAGCAATGTGCTAAGAACTTCACCCATAATGCAAACCAGAGCGTGGGGCTCTGCAGGAGAGCTGCCACCCTGCAGGCTGGGCTGTGCCATGCAAGCTGCCCACCACCCAACGTCCTCTGCAAGGGGATCCCAGTGAGGACATCGGTGCCTGCAAGAGTTCCTGCAATCCTTCAAAAATACGAAATAAAAGGGGGTGAAGGAAAAAAAAAAAAAAAGAAAAAAAAAACCAGCCCTGACACTCTTCTGAGGGTCTTTTGGAGCAGTACTGGACCCTACTTGTCATCCAGTTCCTTCTGGGCACCACCAGCGCAGGCTCACTGCAGCACTTAGCTCCCAGCTCCCTTCCCAGAGGCACCAACAATGTTCATCAGGGGTTCAGTATGGAGGTAAGAGACCTTTTCCCCTTCAGTATCTACCTTTAACATAGAACTCCAGCACAAGTCTCCTTCCATCTCCTCACAGAACTCCCTCATTGCTTCACTAGACATCTTTCCAAAGATGCCTGGAAGTAAATTTGATGCTAAGCAGCACAAAGGGATGGAAACAAATCACTGCACAGGAGCAGCACCAGACATCGCCTCAATTCCTCAACCTGCTTAGACGAATCACAAAGAAACGTCCCAAGAGAGACATGGGTTCACCCACTCCTTCCAGCACACAGGGAAGCAGAGAAGCCCTAAAGCTGCCTGCCCTGATGCACAGGCCAGCTCCTGCTCCTCCACACTCTTGCACAATTGCATGAGAGCGTGTCATCTGCTGCTGAGCACCAGGTCAGGAGTGAGAGCTCATCTGTGCATCACATGGCACCAGTTTGCTTCCAGAAC